CTATTTTTTAGATATGTAACATTCATTGTATCTGTGGGATAAATCAGTATATAGATATAAGTGTTGTTAGCGAGTACTGGTATATATATATTTGAAAAAAAATTAGGTAATAGGGAAAAATGCTTAAGGTTTATAGATAAAAAATGATAATTATAAAAAAAAAATCTTGAGTGCAAAAGGATAGGTCAAATTGTGAGTTGGAAGTTTTGTATAGAGATATCTTAGGTAACCCAACTCTTCCGGACCTAACTAACATACCAGTGTTTATACCTCATTTATATATATACCTATAAATTCCGTAGTAAAATCATCTGATGGTTCAATATATTTGCATATTTTATTTCAAGGGAAACAATACAGCAATCTATGTTTAGGTTTGGGGCTTTTGCCTAGATTTTCACTGATAGATATCATCACATCATATAGTAGGGACTAGTTGGGTTGAACTTACATATGTGTAATGAGCTATGAGCTTCAAATAGTTTATTTACAATGACTTCTGAAAGATTTATTTCTATCATTCTTCTTCTTCCAAACTTCTCATTTTAATTCAGCCTAATTTTATTCTCAGGTTTAATACAATTTTGAAATACTATCCCTTTGGACAAGAATATTCTCAATCTATCAATTATCTACTGAAAACTGGAAAACCCCTTGTCTAAGAATACTGCCAGTTCAAAATTAGAAATTCCCTAATCTAAAAATAGATCTGAATAAAATAATAATTGCTTCCCTTTACAAACCAAATTATGCAAATATCCTATACTACCAGGTAGCAAACTGTAGAAAATGAAGAATATATATATATTGTTCAGATAGATTATTAAGTATGCCTGGTCCAGAAGAATTGGTTATCTTATTCATAATCAGATAATTTCAATAGAAATCTCCAGCTCACCATTAGACTAGGCCCTCACTTTTTGGTGCTTCTTTTAAAATTAATCTTTTCATCAGAATGATCAGATACTTACTGTTAAGTTACTGCATTAAAAAGACAAAATCAAAAGTATTAATTAAAAATTGTGAATGTTGTCTGTACTTAATAAAGAATGTGTATTTGTGTGTGATTTGATTTTGATTTGATTTTTGGTGTTTTAATGCCACTTTTAAGTACCGCTTTTGGGCTATTTTGTGGCGGCCAGTTTTTATTGGTGGAGGAAGCCAAAGTGCCAGGAGAAAACCACTGACCTTTGATAGGAAAACTGACAATTCTAGTCAATTAAGATTGGAGTCAAGTGCACCCGCACGAGCGGGGTTCGAACTCACAACCTCAGTGTTGACTGGCTAGTGATTACAGTAGTAACTACTTAGACCACTCAGCCACCGAGACCCCCTATTTGTGTGTGTGTATGGGGTGTATTTAGGTACTGTAGATTCAGAAATTAATAAAAAAACAAAAAAACAAATTTCACTGCAACAATTAAGATAATAATTATTTTATAGTCAGAAACAAGATTAAAATGTCTTAGGAGTTTTTTGTGCATTAAATTCTGTACATTCAAACTTTATTCTGGGCTTTAGAGTTGGGAGGTAGTTACCTTAATGTTTTACAGTTTTTCTTGATTTATAAAACAGGAGCAGGAGTCAGAACCCCTCTGTTCCACCAGGTTTTTTTTTGCAAATTAAAGAACCTTGTCAGTGGTTGTCTTTTGTTAAAACTTAAAAAGTTTTTCATTATTTAGAGAAATATAACTTGATGGGAAATCCTGATAAGTCTCTTTTAACTTCACTATACTGGTTTGGTGTAAATTTTGTCATGAAATATTTGCCACAGAACATTGAACAAAAATCTATTTTTATGCCCCCGCCGTAGCAGAGGGGGGAATTAAGTTTTACCCTTGTCCGTCTGTACGTACGTACATACCTACGAACGGCCCAAAATTGGTTTCCATTCTCTAACTTTAGTTTGTCTCAACCAAATGTTATGAAACTTATACACAATGCTAATTACCACAAAACACAGATCAAGTTTGAATTTTGGTGGCGTCACTTTTACCGTTCTAGAGTTATGCCCCTGTACAAATGGAAAAATTGTGAATTTTTCGTTTCAGTTCTCTAACTTTAGTTTGCCTCAACCAAATATTTGAAACTTATACACAATGCTTATTACCACAAAACACAGATCAAGTTTGAATTTTGGTGGCGTCACTTTTACCGTTCTAGAGTTATGCCCCGGTACAAATGGAAAAATTGCTGAATTTTTCGTTTCCGTTCTCTAATTTTAGTTTGCCTCAACCAAATGTTATGAAATTTATACTCAACCAATTGTTATGAAACTTATACACAATGCTTATTACCACAAAACACAGATCAAGTTTAAATTTTGATGGTGTCACTTTTACCGTTCTAGAGTTATGCCCCTTTAGAAATGGAAAAATTGCAAAATTTTTATTTTCTTCTAAATATCAAGTAATTTTTAAAATTGGAGTTATCTTCCTTTGTCCATGATTATAGTTGAATCAACTACAATCAATGCTTTATACAATGCAATGTTTAATTTTGACTTCCACTGATAAAACATAGATCAAGTTGAATTTGGGTAGTGTCACTTTTACCATTATTGAGTTATGCCCCTTTATAAATAGAAAGATTGCAAAATTTTTAGTTTCCATTCTGTAACTTAAGTTTGCCCCAACCAAACATTATAAAACCTATACACAATATTCATTACCACAAAACTAAGATCAAGTACAAATTTTTTTTTTCCGTTTTCATACTTTAGTTTGCCTCAACCAAATGTTATACAACTTATACACAATGCTTATTACTACATAATACAGATTAAGTACTAAATTTGGTGGCAACACTTTTACCATTCTTGAGTTATGTCCCTTTATAAACATAAAAATTGCTGAATTTTTCGTTTCCATTCTCTAACTTTAGTTTGTCTCAACCAAATGTTATAAAACTTATACACAACCGTTCTAGAGTTATGCGTGTTTACAAATAGAAAAATTGCTGAATTTTTAGTTTCTGTTCTCTACTTAAGTTAGCCTCAACCAAATGTTATGAAACTTGCACACAATGCTTAATACCACAACACTCAGATCAAGTTCAAATTTGGGTAGCGTCACTATTACCTTTCTTCAGTTATGTCCCTTTATAACTATATGATATGCAAGCGGGGGCATCATCTGTGTCCACATGTGGACACTATCCACATTTTTTATTCATATACATTTATTAAAATACATAGACTATTTTCTTTGTCACACATTCAATAAAAGATCTTTTTCATTTTGTTTATACAATGTGTTCTTTTCAAACATACACAATTTTACATTTGAGACAGTTTATATGTGCTGCCCCTCTACTCTCTACCTTATCTGAACAATATATTTATCATTCTTCTGTTTGTGGTAAACAGTATTTGCATATTTTGATTTGTATTTAAATGGGTAGCAATTATTATTTTCTCTACAATTCTATTTTTAGATTAGAGAAATTTCTATTTTTAAAGTTGACAAGGGATTTTCCAGTTTTCAATTGATTATGAATATTCATAACAATGTCCAAGGGGATAAGTTATCAAATCTCAAATGCTGAGATTTCAAATAAGGCTTAATTGAATTAGGTTTTCATGGAAAGACAATAATTAGAAGTTTTTGTCAATAAACTGTTTGAAGCTCATAGTTGTTATAGTAAACACTTATGTTCCCAACTGATCACTACTATGTGATGGAATGATATATATCAGTGAAAATTTCATCAAAAACCCCAAACCTAAATATAGAAAGATTTTTATTACAAAAATCAGATTGTTTCCCTTGAAATGAAATATGCAAATATATCAAACCATCAGAGGTTTGTAGTTAGGAAATGATAGGTATATATATTATTCAAGTGTGTTTACTAGTATGTTAGGTCCGGAGAGTTGGTTTACCTAAGATAACTCTATACAACATTTCCCATCTCACAATTAGACCTAGCTTTTTGCATTCAAGAATTTTGTATTTTATGCCCCACCTAGGGGCGTTATGTTTTTCAGTCTGTGCGTCCGTCCGTCCGTCTGTCCTGCTTCAGGTTAAAGTTTTTGATCAAGGTAGTTTTTGATGAAGTTGAAGTCCAATCAACTTGAAACTTAGTACACATGTTCCCTATGATATGCCAAATTAGAGTTTTGACCCCAATTTCACGGTCCACTGAACATAGAAATTTATAGTGGGAGTGGGGCATCCGTGAACTATGGACACATTCTTGTTATTATTATATTTGTTTTTTAATGTTATGCATTATTTTTTCCTTTTATGTTTTAACATTTCTTTAACCATCTTAAAGCTGTATATTGCACCATTTAAACAGTCTGATTTTACTTTAAAACTCATGAACAGTCTGTGGCAGTCTAAATTTTCCACCCTTCAACATTGTCATCCCACCTTGAAAGACCTACATATTGTATTAACTGTTAATAGTTTCTCATCTTTAATATGCATGATGTATGAAATAATGGCCACTGGCCATTAAGCAAGAAATAATCAATCATGGAATTTTACCAAACTTGGACATTTATAAGACCAAACCAAAAAAATTTTTTTCTTCTTTCATTATTTCCGTATTTAACTGGTCAATGGAGATAAATTTTTTGCAGTAAACATTTAGATCTTAAAAGTCTTGCGACAAATTTCTTAGACATCAATAAATTTGGTAAACCTTCACAGAATGTTACAAAACTTGGACAAGCTTCTTCATAAAGAAATAGCATCTGAAAAAAAAATTGTTTTATTTTAATTTTCTGTATCTCTTTTTTTGTGTAAAGTACATTAATCACAAGAGAACGTAAAGGAAATAAGATGTTTAATATTTCCTGTTAATTCAACAGAATAATAATAGAGGTTTATATATGCTGTATCACTTATTTTAATTTCATATTATATCCATAATAATTTTTGAAGGACTGAACTCGTTTTCATATACAGTTGGTATGTAGGACTGACTTTAATTCTCAAGCATTGACAGGGACAACTGCCAAATGGTAATATTTCAAATACATTCAGTTTCAGCTACCAACTTTAATATCTGGCAGAGTTTGTACCTAGGACCTTCAACATTGTTTGAAGACACAGGCTTACCACTATTTACAACTTTTGTATACCGGGTAACAGTTTATAATGATGTTGGACAGCTAACCAGTAATAATTCAAGGGAGGTAACCACATATGGAGGATTTCCACGGAAAGCTGCAGAGGTGACCGTTTTTCCAGCAGATCATACAACAATTGAAGTGAAATGGTTAACTCCTGGTAATGCAATATTTATTACTTCATACACTGCTTATTCTGTAAACTTAGGGTGTCACCACTGATACTGATATAGTTCTGGGTATTTTTTATGCTGAACATATTTTGAATATGCAACTAAATCTGAAACATTAATTTTTAAACTTCTCAGTTATGACATAATAAAATATTATTTATAAGAATGAATTAACAGCATCATGATGTCATGATACTTAATGATATTTTTGTATATCTTTGTATTTGATTTGGCCTTTCTATCGAAATGGGCGTCTGGCATACAAAATTATAAGCCTCTGGTACCTTTAACAAATTTATTCATTAACATCACAAATTCTTTATTTGAAATATCATTTCAGGAAATCTCATAATTTGGAATACAGGTATTCATTTTGTTTGAATTATTTTAGATGTGATTGATTTACAAGGTTCAGTTAAAGAATTTACAGTAAAGGCATACAGTTATCTTGGAAATTTTACTCAGTATCATAGTGCTAATGTGGACCACACCCATTTACAAAACCTGACCCCCATGACCAGATATATAGTGTATGTCACCATTACCATCCATGGTGGTGCAAGTATAACCAGTGAGCCACAGTCAACAGTTACCCTGGATGGAGGTAATATTTTCACTCATTTATTATCTTTAAATAATTTATGAAAACAAATCTTACCAAATGAGTTTCTTCAAGATATGCGAAAATTTAAGAATGCTTACAGTACAATTTCAGAGATTGAGTCAGAATGTCCCAAACAGTTACATTTCCATAATGTCATTTCTTATCTGGTCCATTCAATTCAAATGACTGTTATTTAGTGTTTTTGAAATGTCTTCACATTAATTTAAAAAAAAAGTTTTCCTTTCAGAATTGATTGATTGAACCAACCTCTGATTTAGATATTCAGTTTTTAATGAAATTTTCATGATAGACATCAGTTGAACTTTTAATTATTTCATTTAAAAAGTATGTAATTAAAAATAAGAATGGAACTTCAGCAAAAAAAATAATTAGATTAGTTTTCAGTTAATCTTTGCTTGATATATTACAGCTCCTGAGGGTGTGTCTAAGCCAGTGTTAACAGTACTGAGTCATACTTCTATCAGAGTATCCTGGGTAGCACCTCTGATACCTAATGGTCAGATAACAGGATACTTTATACATATTATAAAAGACAGAATATCTACAGAGATGACAGAAGCAGGATCCTATGTCATTTATGATCTACGTCCATACACTGTTTATTCTGTAAAGGTAGGTCTAATCACTGATCTACGTCCATACACTGTATATTCTGTAAAGGTAGGTCTAATCACTGATCTACGTCCATACACTGTATACTCTGTAAAGGTAGGTCTAATCACTGATCTACGTCCATACACTGTATACTCTGTAATGGTAGGTCTAATCACTGATCTACGTCCATGCACTGTATACTCTGTAAAGGTAGGTCTAATCACTGATCTACGTCCATACACTGTATACTATGTAAAGGTAGGTCTAATCACTGATCTACGTCCATGCACTGTATACTCTGTAAAGGTAGGTCTAATCACTGATCTACGTCCATACACTGTATACTCTGTAAAGGTAGGTCTAATCACTGATCTTCTTCCATACACTGTTTATTCTGTAAAGGTAGGTCTAATCACTGATCTACGTCCATACACTGTATACTCTGTAATGGTAGGTCTAATCACTGATCTACGTCCATGCACTGTATACTCTGTAAAGGTAGGTCTAATCACTGATCTTCTTCCATACACTGTATACTCTGTAAAGGTAGGTCTAATCACTGATCTTCTTCCATACACTGTATATTCTGTAAAGGTAGGTCTAATCACTGATCTACGTCCATACCCTGTATACTTTGTAAAGGTAGGTCTAATCACTGATCTACGTCCATACACTGTATACTCTGTAAAGGTAGGTCTAATCACTGATCTATGTCCATACACTGTATATTCTGTAAATGTAGGTCTAATCACTGATCTACGTCCATACACTGTATACTCTGTAAAGGTAGGTCTAATCACTGATCTACGTCCATACTCTGTATACTTTGTAAAGGTAGGTCTAATCACTGATCTACCTCCATACACTGTATACTCTGTAAAGGTAGGTCTAATCAATGATCTACCTCCATACACTGTATACTCTGTAAAGGTAGGTCTAATCAATGATCTACGTCCATACACTGTATACTCTGTAAAGGTAGGTCTAATCACTGATCTACGTCCATACCCTGTATACTCTGTAAAGGTAGGTCTAATCACTGATCTACGTCCATACACTGTATACTCTGTAAAGGTAGGTCTAATCACTGATCTATATCCATACCCTGTATACTCTGTAAAGGTAGGTCTAATCACTGATCTACGTCCATACACTGTATATTCTGTTAAGGTAGTCTAATTACTGATCTACGTCCATACACTGTATACTCTGTAAAGGTAGGTCTAATCACTGATCTACGTCAATACACTGTATACTCTGTAAAGGTAGGTCTAATTACTGATCTATGTCCATACATTGTATATTCTGTAAAGGTAGGTTTAATCACTGATCTACGTCCATACACTGTATATTCTTTAAAGGTAGGTCTAATCACTGATCTACGTCCATACCCTTTACAGAAGGTCTAATCACTGATCTGCATCCATACCCTTTACAGAAGGTCTAATCACTGATCTACGTCCATACACTGTATACTCTGTAATGGTAGGTCTAATTACTGATCTACGTCCATACACTGTATACTCTGTAAAGGTAGGTCTAATCACTGATCTACGTCCATACACTGTATACTCTGTAAAGGTAGGTCTAATCACTGATCTACGTCCATACGCTGTATACTCTGTAAAGGTAGGTCTAATCACTGATCTACGTCCATACCCTTTACAGAAGGTCTAATCACTGATCTGCATCCATACCCTTTACAGAAGGTCTAATCACTGATCTACGTCCATACACTGTATACTCTGTAATGGTAGGTCTAATTACTGATCTACGTCCATACACTGTATACTCTGTAAAGGTAGGTCTAATCACTGATCTACGTCCATACACTGTATACTCTGTAAAGGTAGGTCTAATCACTGATCTACGTCCATACGCTGTATACTCTGTAAAGGTAGGTCTAATCAATGATCTACGTCCATACACTGTATACTCTGTAAAGGTAGGTCTAATCACTGATCTACTTCCATACACTGTATATTCTGTAAAGGTAGGTCTAATCACTGATCTACGTCCATACACTGTATACTCTGTAAAGGTAGGTCTAATCACTGATCTACGTCCATACCCTGTATACTCTGTAAAGGTAGGTCTAATCACTGATCTACGTCCATACCCTGTATACTCTGTAAAGGTAGGTCTAATCACTGATCTACGTCCATACACTGTATACTCTGTAAAGGTAGGTCTAATCACTGATCTACGTCCATACACTGTATATTCTGTAAAGGTAGGTCTAATCACTGATCTACGTCCATACACTGTATACTATGTAAAGGTAGGTCTAATCACTGATGTTCGTCCATACATTGTATATTCTGTATAGGTAGGATCTCATTACATGTACTGATCTTATAAAGTCCATACAATGTATATTCTGTAAAAGGTAGGATCTCAATTCATTACTGATCTATGTCCATACAATGTATATTCTGTAAAGGTAGGATCTCATTTTCTTATTGATCTTACCATTATACTCTGTAATTTTTAAAAGTACCCAGACTCTTTCAAAATTTTACTTATATTTGTCTTAGAATAGTATTAGAATACTGCTGAAATAAGACTACCTGTTCGAAATCATTACTTAGTCTTTGTATTTGATAAAACGATTGAAGAAACAAGAGCTGTCAAATAGCATTATGTTCGGACAATACATTTTAGTGTAACAAATTATAAAAAAAAACTTTATTACCATTTTCCTTACAGATGGAGGTTTGCACTGTATTTGACTGTACAGAGAGTGAAACTGTATTAGTAACCACAGTTGAGGCTCTACCCCAGGGTGTTCTTCATCCATTTGTGACCTCTGTGTCACCAACAGAAGTAGATATTAGCTGGAAACCTCCAGAGAATGGGAATGGTATAATACTGAAGTATGAATTGATTAGACAGAGGATGAAACCATGTTCAGAAATGTCAGTAATGGTTTGGTTGATATTATTTATCCCTGAATTTTTTTTTTGAAATATAAAAATATGTTTGAATATACATTATAATATAAAAACTCTAGATTGGCATTGATTCATTCATTTTTAATTTACTGAAAATATATGAAAAAAATAATTTCTATTATGTCATATATTTTTAATTTTATAACTTCAACATAGTCTTACTATTGAGTTTATGATTTATTAAATACAACCAGGTCTACTGTATGACATAGTAACAAACTGTCATACTGCACAGATTATTACAATTAGGACATGTTTCAGCTGTAATTTTGTTATTTGCGACATGACTGATACGTAAGAATAATTGTTCACATTCAGGGTCTGCAGTATCATCTTAATATAAGTTTTTAAAATGTATGGGTATAAGCAAAGGCAACTTACCTAACATCTACCTTTTTTCAGAGCACCACCTACCCTAAGTCCAGAATTAACCAAGTGTACATATGTCAAGTGTAGTGTTTTTGAGAGTATCTGTGGAACACAGTGTTATACAGGAACAAAGGTTAGTTAAGTACCACTTGCCTTGTACCTTGCTATAAACAAAACTTTTACTGATTTCAAATTTTAAGTTGAAAAAAAAATAAATAGAATTATTGACAATTAGTTCTGCTGTTATTTTTTATACCCCCGTCGTAGACAAGGGGGCATTAAGGTTAACGTATGTTTGGAAATTTTTTTCTGTTCTCTAACTTTAGTTTGCCTCAACCAAATGTCAAGAAACTTATCAACAATGCTTATTACCATTAAACAACGATCAAGCTTCAAATTTGTGTGGCGTCACTTTCACCATTCTCAAGTTATGTCTCTTTATAAATGAAAAAATTGCTGAACTTGCAATTTCCGCACTATTGACTTTACTGTTCCTCTACCAAATGTTATGAAACTTATACAAAATGCTTATTACCATCAAACACAGATTAAGTTAAAATTTGGGTGGTGTCACTTTCAGGGTTCTTGAGTTATGTTCCTTTATAAATGGAGAAATTTCTGAATTTCCTGTATATTTACAAACGAGGGCATCTGTGTCACATGGACACATTCTTCTTTTATTCCATAAAATGAATGGTGAGGCCATCTTTTTATAGTACATGTAAATATAGGAATTTTTGTCTGCTAGCAAGAATTATGGTACCTTTGAAAGATTCTGTTTTGTTTGTTCAATATTTTTTTTAGATTCAGGCCAATTTAGAGCTTGATATATTTTACTTTTACTTCAATTTCGTGTTATATCAATCAGATTAATTAAAGTTGAAGTTTTCAATATTAGGTCTGTTAAGTAGATGGACATGCCAAGTCAACGAGTGTTTGGTTGCAGATTTTTCAAATGGAGTACACTTGTTGTCCATTCAATATCATATTCCCCTGATCACATTTTCATGCTTCAGTTGACACGTAAATTTTTCATGATTAAGTATTATTTTCATTCCAATTTGGCCTAGTTCAAATTTTTGGATTAAATCTGTATCTCAGAAGTTTTACTTGGTAGGTTCACAATACTTTGTATTCACTATAAAAGGAAATTTACCAATTGACATCAACATCAGTTTCAAACTTTATCAGAATTTTAAGTAATTCAAGATTTGCTGCAGACAAGGCATTTTATAGTGTCATCTTATGTAATATACTTGCTGTAAACTTTTGTATATTGTAGGTTTGCTGCGAAGGAAATTTGTATAACATAAAGACTGGTTATGATTGTTGTGGTACTATGTATATACCCAAACCAACACATGATGCTGTCTGCTGCTCTGGAGTGTTCTATCTAAAGAAAGATCAATACAAATGCTGTAAAGATAGGTAAGGACTATGCCATTAAAATGTATGTGGGAGGGTAGGAAGGGAAGTTTAATTATTGAATGTGGGTCATGGGTCTCTTTTCAGTATGCGTCTATTACCATTATGCAAAATTATCTAAAAAATGGTTCTTGGTTGTAGGGATATTTTGAAAGTCCCTTCCTACCCTCCCACATACATTTTAATGGAATAGCCCTAAAGTTTATCAAAGTTAAAATTTACAAATTTCAGATATTTTTGGAATTTGAAGCATGTAACTTATTGATAGCACTTTTTTCATTTTTGTGGATACATTTTAAATTTGAAAGAAGGTTTGGATGATTTTGATTATCTATTAAATTTGAAATGGAAAAATATGTTGTTTGGAGGGATGATGATTGGGGCATTGAATTTATGATGTTGCTGAGCTTCAAGGTTTTCTTTATTTTAAATTTTTGATATAGTACATAGAAAGAGACATCAGAGACATCATCTTATAGTACATGAAAAAGCACCTTGAACAGCATAAGTTTAACCAGATAAAAACTTTTTAAGGTTAGCACAGTACTGTGAACCTATAACAGAAGACTAATTAATCCATGAATATTGGTGAAATCTCTCCTAAATATAATTATGATAATAAATGTCCAATAAAAGATCCTATAACATTCATAACATTCTTGATGCTGAAATGATATAATACAATATCAATTGTAAGTTGAAGATGGTCTGTGGTTCTTGTTATATAGCATGGTTTAATTTTCATTGTAGGTATACTGAAGTACTGCCAGGACAGGTGTGTTGTCCTGATCTGTATGAGAACAGATTATTGGTTGGTCATGGGGATAGCTGTTGTGGTTCTGTACCATATTCATCTACAGGCTCACAAGTCTGTTGTCATGGTAAGTATCAACCAAAATGCAAATAGGATCAGACATGCAGAAACATCATTGGTTTATATGATAATAAGGAACATATGAACATTAAGTTATTTTTTTAGAACAATTTTATTCAATTTCTCTTATATGTTTTATTAAAAATCATAAAGAATCAGATAAAAATATTTATTTAATGAATGTTGAGAAAGAGTGCATAGATATCTTCTGAATTTAGTCTGAAAGCTATTCTTTGTAATTTTAGGGTTGACAATGTTGCTTAAAGTTTTTGATTATTTTGAATTATTTGCTTTCTTTTCATTTTGTAGACAAACTGTATGATGGATTCCAAAGAAAATGTTGTGGTGAAAATTTGATTGATGAACTGGAAGTTTGTTGTGGTGATAACAAGCAAGGTTCCTCCTATACCTATTCAGCAGGGTACCAGTGTTGTAATACAGAATATGTTGATAATGCCACTTCACTATGTTGTACAGCTGATACTGGTCACCAAAAGGTAAAAGTTGAATTATGTTTCATGGAAAACTGCGAGTACTCTCAGATCTGTACTTAGTGTCTTTTTGTTGTTTGGATGTACAAGTACCCGGTCACACCATCTTGTAATTGTAGTACAATGTATTTGTATTTTTATCCATCTGATGAGTTAAGCCTCTTTCAACTGATTTTTATAGTTCATTCTTATGTTGTACTGTTACACCACTGTCCCAGGTTAGGGGAGGGTTGGGATCCCGCTAACATGTTTAACCCCGCCAACATTCTGTATGTATGTGCCTGTCCCAAGTCAGGAGCCTGTAATTCAGTGTTTGTCTTTTGTTTATGTGTTAAATATTTTGTTTTTCGTTAATTTTTTGTACATAAATTAGGCCGTTAGTTTTCTCGTTTGAATTGTTTTACATTGTCAATTCGGGGCCTTTTATAGCTGACTGTGCGGTATGGGCTTTGCTCATTGTTGAAGGCCATACAGTGACCTATAGTTGTTAATTTCTGTGTCATTTGGTCGCTTGTGGAGAGTTGTCTCATTGGCAATCATACCACATCTTCTTTTTTATATAATCCATTCATTTCTTTTTTAATTAAGATAGGTATGTATTGGATTAGTGTAAATGTGAATATTCTTAAAATTTGTCCACAGAAAAAAAAAATTTTGAGAGTTTCAGTTGATTGTTTTCTTTTTACATATTTTGTCATAATTTTGTGCCATTTTGAACTTGACTTCCAAAATAATTGTATAACAATTTTATAAAATGCAGTACAAAATTGTCCTCTTTTAAGCCCTTAGAATGCTTGTGCCTTTTTTTTTTTTTTTTTTACAGATATTCAGTTTTTCAAATGTCACCTGTGATAAATAAATTTGTTTTGAATATAAACAAATATTTTATGCCCTGTTTTGGATAGTAAGGAATATATTATTTTTTCTGGTCTTTATCAACTTTTCAAACTATTTTGTGAATTTGATATTTTATGTTATTTTATTTTAGGTTCACATTTACCCTGATGAAAGCAGTAAAGATAATGATAATGTGAAATGTTGTGGACTAGAAAAGATCTCTAAGACGTTAAGTTGCTGTAATCATGGTGCATATAATCCTCAGACCCATGTGTGTGCAGATATTTCACAGGATCAAAATGGTATGTTTACATGATAGTTTCTTTACATTGAATTAACAGTTTGATAAAGACAAAATGGAACAACTTTAGCATATTTTATAATCAGACAAATTATTCAGTATTTCATATTTTCAGTTGCAAAGAAACCATACTACAAATTCACATTATTTTTATTTAATTAAATGTATTCAGTTTTCATGTACACCATATATTTTTTTAAATATTAATGTGTAGTAACTGAGTTTGTCAGATAAGAGGGTCCAAGAAAAAAATTATCTCCCTTTGATTTTAGTTATTTGTAATTTAAAAAAATGCCTTCTCTGCTCCTTTCCAATTTATTTTTTGCATTTTAATGAATGAAATTTGATGAATAAGGACAAAAGGTCTGATTTCTGGTGTAAAGCAAATATTTGCTCCAGTGTAAAAATGTTAAATTTTAAGAATACAGAAGCTGTCATGCTGTATTTTAAACCCTCTCAGATTAATTTGTCCATGAATTGAGTCAGAACTGTCAAATTATTTTGCAAGTTGATATAATTTTTTATAAACAGAAAATTACAGTAAAAATCTTGTTAAGAGTACACTATTGTAATTTATATTTCAGGGGCGTAGCTACCTTCTTAATAAAGTGGAATCACAAACTAAAGGGCGAGGGGTCTGGGGGCCGCCTAATGCCCCCAGTAGGTCCAGGGCAAAGCCTTGGTAGGGTGGCTAAGACCCCTGGAAGCTCCGCAAATATATAGCGTTTCAAAACAATCACAACCGAAATAAAACTTGGAAATTTTTGTTGTGATTTTATGGTCAACTATTTGTTCAACTTCGAGTCGAATGAAGACTTAACATTGTCGCTTGCGTTTTTTGTACGTGAAAGCTTTTAAAATCACGGAGATTTGTTCCATATGCTAGTATTTGTATTGAGCAAAGTAGATTTAAAAAAAACAAACAATAAACATAAACACAATACTATATTTGGAGTTTCTGTTAGCATAAACATAATGGATACCCAATACTTGGTGGACACATTCTCATATATTTTGCTTAACATATGTATTTAGATGATTTAAAATTTTGTGGGTAAACTCTACAAGAGAGAGATGGGAATTTCGAATTTTGCGTAGTTAGGAATATTCGAAGTTGAAATTAATGAACTTTTTCAGAGTAAATGGTACTTTGATCACGATCTTTTTCACGATCTGCGTTTTTAATTAGTCAGCTAATTAACAAATGCATATGCATTCGACCAGTTGTATGGCAATATCTAGATGATAACAGTGAAGATACTTGTAATAAAAGTTTGGTGTATCTTTCGAACAAGAATCAGCAGTTTAGTGTCCTACTCGGACAGACAGTTCTTTTTTAAAATTGAATGACCTAATAGTCCAGTAAAACGAGTTAGAATTAACAATTTATTTAAATGGTTTTACAATCAACCATTCGTATAGCCGGCCCATACAGAAACGACTTCGAATTATCGAATCTATATTAAAGATTTTTTTTGTATAAAAATAAAAATGTAAAACATGTTCTGGAAAATGTGTACTTTTTTTTTTATAATAACAGCAGTTCCAACTTATCATCTACTAGTATACGGAAACTATTGATTGATTGAATTGTTATTAATGTCCGATAGCAAAAATAGGACGAGATACGTTGACGTGATGTGAAAATGAACTATTCGTGTTGTCAAGACCTACATACTTAGTCAATATTGAACTAGTTCACAAGGTAACAGTCATTATTCCCGGATCGATACTAGTTGAAGAGTCTTCATTCTAGTAAGAGGTGTGCTTTGGGGCGAAGTGGAAAATAATAATTTTCAAGTTTTTTTGTTAACCCTAAAGGGATTATGTTTTGTTTTTTTTGCACTCAAAGCGAGTATACGGTATGGTTGTGGTACCAACAACTATGTAGCTGGTATTTTCTAAACAATGCCCGTAATATAAAAAGTTCCTCTAAGTTTACACCAGTTGTATGTATTTATCGTGCACATACATGTCTTACAGGATTAAAAATTCCGCTGCATGTGTATTCCTCTTGCTTTTATTCTTTGTGTAGTTTTTAAAATGCATACATAGAAAGACCAATTCCTATATGTTAACTTTGTTCCTCACTCTAGCTCTCTCTCTCTCTCTCTGTTTTTTTTTTGTGAAAACGACATGGATGCACGTGCTGCCGTGCCTCCGGGTAGCTACGCCCCTGTATTTAGTGCTATTACAAAAAATGTTCAAATAAATGCACTTCCTCTATTTATATGTTCTTATGCCTTTGGGTGAAATACTTAAATATAAACAATTTTGTAGGATGTGGAGTAGGTAACATATGTCCTATAGCACAGTCAGCTACAGCATACTGTGACAGATGTGATTTTCAGAAAACCACTGACAAATGTGGTGCTGTCATTGGTTACCATGATGATATCGAATTACCTCCCTTGCCAGATCCTACTAAAAACTGTGTTGTTGATGAAGAAATACTTTATTCTGGAATGGATTTTAGTTATACAGGTAAAATATTACTTTTTTGATAACTGTATGTGATGTATACATATAGACTTTGTTTTTCTATGTGTATTTATTTCCATGACAATATAATGAATATGACTATTTAACTGCTTTGTGGTAACTTTCAACAGAATGTCTATGAAAATAAAAGTAATATTTCAGTATGCATATTAAAGAAGGGATGTACTTTAAATATTTTTAAAGTTATGTTTATAAAGTATGCTAAAAATTGTTTAATGACTTATATAAATTAAAATTCCAAATGTAAGCTTGTCATTGTTTTCAACAGATACTGAATTACAGCCATATTCAATGTACCAGTATGCTGTGAGTGTAGTAAATAGTGCAGGAGAGACTACTAGTCCATTTACATTCATCATAACACAGGAAGCCCCTCCAGAACAAGTGCTGCCACCTGCTACAAACACAGATTCATCACAACTATATGTTATTGGATTGTCTTGGGACATACCTTTTAAACCAAATGGTGAGATAGAAATGCTTTCATTTTTGTCTTATTTTCTAACATAATACCTAATTGGTTTAGGCCATTATAAAAAAAACCTTTGATTCTCAACCAACCTTTATTTTTAAATTGGGAAATAGCTTGATCACAATAATTTGTTTGGGGCTCTGAAAAAAATCAGAGAGTGGGTGAGAATTTAGGATATTTGTTTTATTATGTTGACCTTTACAGAAATACAGTGCATATTGATATGGAGGAGAATTTTTGTTTTAATCTTGAAAATTTACCAACATTGAAAGAAAATTCTCTATAGTGTCCATCATAATTATCAAGAATATTTTCTGTCTACATACTAGTTTCAATGTATTTACCTCATCTTAGAAATTGGTTGTTATTATAATTCTAGGTGATATTATTAGATTTGTCCTGACAAGAGATGGTGTAGAGTTATACCGTGGAATGACTCAGCAGTATACAGATGATGCAGCCATCTTACCATACCAGTCCTATGTATATGTTTTGACAGCATGTACTAAAGCAGGATGTACAGATAGTCCACAGGTACAGCAAATTATTACCACATTTACTTTAATTTAGGACTTTGACAGTTGATAAAGATTTCCTTGTAAAACATTATACATTATATTCATGCCTATGAATAAACAACCACTATGGGAATGACGAAAGTGGTTAAGTACAATCTTTTGTGGAGTTTTACTTGTGAAATTGATTACATACAGCTGTGTATATAACCTTTTGGAGATTTTTTATTATTTTGTATTACTATTGTCATCCCAAAAAGTGAATAAAAAGAAGATTCTTTGCACTGTATCTTAGTTGTGTAAATTATATAATAGTGCTATTATGTTTTTTGTACATATGTATATTATTGCAATTCCTATGTTACTTTTGTTTATCTTTTTATATACATTAATGTCCTAGAATTATTGTTTAGCTATTTTATATTGTTTGATAAGTTTGATTTTTGTTTTTGAATTTGAAATAGTGGGAACTTGGGAGATGACCACATATTGATGAAATTCAGGAAAATTTGAGAAAATATTGAATTGATACCACTGCAATCAGAAAAGGTCTCACCTTTGCAGTTTCCATTACTGAAGGAAAAATCAAAGGACCACTTACCATATCTGCATAAGTGAAGGTCATTAAGGACCACCAACCTAATGTCTTATTTTTGTTGCCTAGGTAACAGTCGCCACAGCAGAAGGGCAGCCAGAAGGTGTAGAATCAGTGTTGGCATCAGATGTGACCTCCACAGCAATGAGGTTAATATGGTCTCCACCAATTAAACCAAATGGCATTGTCAAAAGCTATACATTATTTGTATTCTCTGATGGAACTTTTAAATCATACCAAACATTGATGTTTAAACAGACTTTGACAGGTGAGTAATATGTTTAGATTCTGAACATAGGAAGTTTGATCAGGAAAATGATTTGACAACCAGATCCAATACCTTAACTCGGCATTAGCAACCAGATCCAATACCTTAACACAGCATTAACAAACTTATTCAATACCTTAACTCAGCATTAAAAAAAAGATCCAATACATTAACTCAGCATTAACAAACAGATCCAATACCTTAACTCAGCATCAACAACCAGATCCAATACCTTAGCTCAGCATTAACAAACAGATCCAATACCTTAATTCAGCATTAACAAACAGTTCCAATACCTTAACACATCATAAACAAACAGATCCAATACCTTAATCCAGCATGATTTCTCTACTTTAAAATGATAAAATCTTATTTGAAAGTCTTCATGGTTACTTTCAATACTACAATGTTACTTACTTTTAAACTACTGTCAATGACTTCTTATTATTTCCTTTATACAGGATTGAAACCCTATACAGATTATAGCATTTTATTACAAGTGTGTACCAATGGAGGATGTACTAATAGTTCTAATATTATAGTCAAAACTCTGGCCGATTTACCTGTTGGTAAGATACATTGAACAACCCCAGGTCACATGATTTTTTTTTTATATATGATTCCCTCTTAAATCATATTTAAAAAAAGAAAGAAGAATTTTATTGTGGGGAGTGCAATATACTTATTTAGGAAAACATTTTAAGTGTAAATTATGATTTACAAATTAGAAACAGACAAATTACTTCAGATGTATAGCTAAATTAGAAAATATAAGAAGACTCCTTCATTTTCTTTCCACACTAACATTTTATAAAAAAAACACGAGCAGACCTTAAAAATGGTCAACAGATATTTCTAGAAAAATTTAATTTATTATTATCTATTGTCCATATGACTTTATCAACTTTATGCACAGGGGAAAAAAAATGAGATCATTTTAAGTAATTCTAACAGATCTATATAAGATTAAGGTTCTCAACGAGACTACACTCCAGCAAAGACCAAAGGACAAGAGAATAAACAACTGCAGGATACTGTACATTTTTCAGCAATGAGCAAAAACCATACCATATAATAAGCTATAAAAGGCACCTGGATGACTACAAGTAAAACAATTCAAAAGAGAAAACTAACTGCCTAATTTATACAAAAACAGAAAAACATGAACAGTTATGAAAGACAGCAACAAACTACAACCACTACATATATTATACTGATTATTTTATCCAACATTAAAAGATTTTTTCTCATAAATATTCTTGGACTCACAGATACAACATTTTATTCAATGAACTATGAACTTGTATGTTTATTTTTTCTAGGTGTTGATCCTCCTAGGGTTGTTTTCCTCTCATCAACATCAATATTGCTGTTTTGGAATTCACCAACTCAACCTAACGGAGAAATCTTATTCTTCTCAATAATGCGTCTCTGGTCTAAAGGTTTAGGCTACTTATTTATGGGTATGAAACTGGAGACAGTGGAAAATGGTTTGACCCAAGGAGAAACATACAAGTATTATCTGATCACAGGGACAAATGCTGGAAATACAAGCAGTACTCCATTATCTGTGACGATGCCAGATCAATCATTACCCTACATACCAGAACCAAAAAACTTAACGGTTTTAAGTGCAACTGAAATCTACGTAGAATGGTATATGGTGGATTTTACAGGCGGATTTATTGATCAGTACGGGGTTGTATTAGATGCTGGTAGAGATAATGAAATAAATAAAGGAGTTGGAAATGATTTATCTGTTGTTATTACAGGTCTGAAACCGTATACTCAATATGAAGTTAGAGTGAAGGGTTGTGTCAAAGGATTTATAAACAGATGTGGCCTTGGACAGCCAGAATACATTAGAACTTTAGAATCTTTACCAGAAGCAATGAATGCACCAGTTGTTGTTCCAAAAGGACCAAAATCAGTAACAGTTTCTTGGGAACCTCCACTAAATCCTAATGGAAAAATAACACAATATATGATATACTACCGTCAGCTTGGATCTGATAATGAGCTATTGATAAATCGTGTTCTTGGTGAAGTTACCACAGTTGATCATGCAGGCAATGATCTAAAACCATATACTCAGTATCAGTACAAAGTTGTTGCCAGTAATCTTATTGGAGATATAGCAAGCCCATGGTCTACTGTCAGAACATTGGAATCTGTACCGACTAATCTTTTACAACCATATGTCAACTCAAGTGGCCCATTTGCTTTTCATATTATATGGCAGCCTCCACAATCACCAAATGGTGTAATTACTATGTATAGGATAACTTTCAGAAAAATTCTTACTGACCCTTCTGCCATATTGATGACAAAGTCAGTGGCAGTTAAACCAAACGTTCTGAGTACAAGTGTAAGTGGACTTGAGCCATTCTCTAACTATGAGGTTCAACTCACAGCATACAATAGATTGGGAAATGTTTCTACAGTGCCTGTTATTGTCCAAACTTGGCAGTCTTCACCGTCAGGATTACCAAAATTTTCTGTTGAAAAGATTGATACTGGGACATCTGTAATATTAAGATGGAACCCTCCTACCCTTCCAAATGGTATTATAACAGAATACAGAATATATGAGGATGGGTCTCCAATTCCACTTTATCAAGGTTTGAACAGGGAATATGAGTTTCGTCGTCTGCAGCCATTTACTCAGTACTTTGTCAGTCTTGTGGCCTGTACATTATCTGGTTGTTCTGAGGGTAATGCTCATAGTATAATAACTGCTGAAATACAACCTTCCAACCAGCCAAGTCCGACCATTGGTTTCACTAATTCTACAGTAGTCACCATAACATGGACAACACCAGTTAATCCAAATGGAAAAATTATCATGTATGAAGTTGTCAGACAATTTAAGATTGGAAAGAAAAGAAGTTTTTCTGATCCAATTATAGTTTATAAAACTATGAATACAAGTTTAGATAGTTATTCATACACTGACACAGGACTTTTGCCATTTACAGAATTTTTATACAGTGTTAAGGCAAGTAATTCTAAAGGTTCTGTGGTCAGTAGCTGGCAATCAGTATTTACATCTCAAGAGGCTCCAGAGGGAGTCCATCCACCAACAGTGACCCACATTACAGATGATATACATAGTCTTTTTGTACAATGGACATTTCCAGAAAAACCAAATGGAATTGTCAAGAGTTATAATATACAAAGAAATAATACTATTCCTCTGACTTTTACCACCAGTGATCCAATGGAATACACAGACTTTAATCTTGTGGCATACACATGGTACAGCTATAAAGTATCTGTTTGTACTGCAGGAGGATGCACAGATAGTTATCCAACAGTTGTCCGTACACTGGAATCAGCCCCGACACAAATGGAGCCTCCAAGTATTACTATATTAAGTTCAACGACACTGAACATTTCATGGACTGTTCCATCCCTTTCAAATGGTATTGTAACCAAATACCAATTATTTATGGATGATTCAGAAATTTATAATGGTGCCATGTTATCTTTTGTAAAAACTAATCTAATTCCATATCAGGAGTATACTTTTCACCTGAGTGCCTGCACCAGTGGTGGATGTACAGACAGTGGTAAGGTTAAAGGTCGACCAGATGATGATGTTCCCATGGAAATGCCATTACCAATATTAAGTGTTATGAGTTCGAGGTCAATAGAAATAATGTGGCAAACACCTACTTATCCTAATGGGATTATAAACTCATATGATGTAAGAAGAGATGAGAGATTAGTTTATACTGAAACTCTCTCTGTCTCTGGGATTTTGAAAACCAGTTACATAGATTATGATCTCATTCCTGGAACTTTATATACATATGTTGTCATAGCAAGAAACAATAAAGGAAGTGTTGAAAGCTTGTCTGTGTCTGCTAAAACATATTCTGCTTCACCAAGTGGGCTTTCCCCTCCAAACCTTCAACCTTTGACCTCTACAACAGTTCAAGCAACATGGCAGCCACCTACTTTTCCAAATGGACCAATAGTAAATTACACACTATATCAATCAAACAAACTTGTGTTTTCTGGATCTCCAACAGTTTTTACATTTGTAGTTGCTGGACTAAACTTTTGGACAGATTATTCCTTTAGAATTCAGGCTTGCACAGACAAGGGATGTGAACTCAGTTCAGAATCCACAGTCAGAACATTGGAGTCCAGACCAGAGGAGCAAGGTTCACCAACATTACTGCCACTAGCTGATGTAAATGGTGCTCATTCTGGAGTCCAGATATCATGGACTAGTCCAATCAAACCTAATGGATATATAATACATTACGAACTGCATAGAAGGATGGTTACTCAAGAGGAAATAGGTATTGTATAACTAAGTTTATTCTACCCAATAATTTTATCTCTTCACCATGACTTATTCTTAGGAAACTTCATGCTAAATTTTAAGTTCATCTCTGGTGTTGTTTGTAGTAAGTGAGCTATAGTAGTCAAATTTGGGGGGTTGAATTTCACACCATTTGGTATCCTTGTTTTACTTAAATCTTTTGTAATATTTTTCTTGATACATGTTTTATTATTAAAATGTATAACAATGTAGACAATCTGATTTTAATATATTTAGAAACACTTGTCTACTGTCAAAGAATATTTGTGTCATTGATATATACATTTTGTACCCACTTCTCAATTTACTCATAAGAAATTCAAGTTTTTATGCCCCAGCCATTGGCAACAGGGGCATTCCGTGTTACCCTTGATGGTCCTCCCATTTTGTTTTTTGCCTCACCCAAATTTTATGAAACTCATACACAATGCTAAAAACTATAACACGCAGACATAGTTCGAATTTAGGCAGCGAGTCATCTATCGTTCTAGAGTAATGCCCCTTTTTAATATGGAAAATTTCAAAGTTTAAGTGGGGGCATTTGTATGCTCACACACATTCTTCTTTTATTTTAATAACTTCACTTCTGTATAAGAAAGGTGATTATTTGAACAAGGTGCCCATCATGTTTAAAAGTTATAGAAATACGAAGATGTGGTATGATCGCAAAATAGACAACTATCTACCAGAGTCCAAATGACATATATGTTAACAACTATAGATCACAGTACTGCCTTCTCCTTTAAAATTCTTACGTACCCTGGTAGTTGAACATCAAGACAATACTCATTTTGTTATGAATATATACACATATGTTAAAAAATGTGCTAAATATATAATGTGAATAGTTTCTTCAATCATTATTATAGGTACCTCATACAGTGGATTGACATTGGTGTACAATGGAACCCAGTTACAATATGTAGATACAGACAGTAGGATCAAACCTTACACTGAGTACCAGTACATGGTAATATCAGGAAACAGAGCTGGAAAGGCAGAAAGTTTCTGGCAGACAGTACTGACTAAAGAATCAACACCAGAGTTTATGTCACCTCCAATAGTAGATGTAAGTCTATGTAGAATAATTTCATAAATTTCCTACAGCTTCGATTTACAGTTTCTACAGAAATATCTGATAACCTAGTCCTCATGTTCATGTTTATCTTTAAAATTTATGATGACACTAATTTTGAGATAAAGTAAGCTGCATAAGAAAGATGAGCAGTTTCTGCTCCACTCACTGTACTTGTCATGTTGCACAGTACAAATCTGCTTAAAAGACACATTTGTTAACGGCTTATACTAGGAAACAGAGGATTTGATTGCATCTTTGACAAAATAGATGGATGCATAGAATATATTTATTGCCATTCTTTTTTTCACATTCCATCTTGCATATTTTCCAGAGTAAAACATCGACAACAATAGCAGTTACATTAACAGAACCAACAGTTAAAAATGGTGTCATCAGAAAATATAGTGTGATTGTTAATAATACTGTGGTTAGTATAATTATTATATTCTTAGTATTAGATACAAGTAAATTGTATGTGTAATACAATCAATGACAATCGAGCTGTATCAGCCATCCGTGATGATATTGATATTAGTCACGATTGAAAAGGCTTTAACAAACTTCTAATCTGTATGACGTAACATCATCGATAAAGAGTATATGATCTTGCTTTTTCAATATCACACACCTGATGTGATATTGAACAAGAATGTGTCCATAGTACACAGATGCCCACTCGCACTATCATTTTCTATGTTCAGTTGACCGTGAAATTGGGGTCAAAACTCTAATTTGGCATTAAAATTAGAAAGATCATATCATAGGGAACATCTGTACTAAGTTTCAGGTTGATTGGACTTCAACTTCATCAAAATCTACCTTGACCAAAAACTTTAGGCGGGAGCGGAACAGACGCATTTTCTGTGTTCAGTGGACTGTGAAATTGGGGTCAAAACTCTAATTTGGCATTAAAATTAGAAAGATCATATCATAGGGAACATGTGTACCGGTACTAAGTTTCAAGTTGATTGGACTTCAACTTCATCAAAAAATTCCTTGACCAAAAACTTTAACCTGAAGCGGGACAGACGGACGAACGGACAGACAGACGAATGGATGCACGGACCGAAAAACATAATGCCCCTAGGGGGGCATAAAAAGCCATATGATATTCTCTATATATACAACCTGTTTTAATCTTAAGTGAAATGAGGAAGATTAGAGTATACTTCATCAATATATGTGTAATAATTAGCTTTAAATAAATACTGTCAATTCGGAAATTATTGGGAGGTTTTCATTAATGCGAACAATGCGACTACTTATGTATCGCAATAATAAGAACTCGCATTCTGATATCTGATACATGTATCTGTATGTAGTTTTTCCTCAAATCGCAAAAAACTAACTTTTTGTCGAGCCTGCAGAAAGCTCGACATAAGGATAGTGATCTGGCGGCAGCGGCTACAGATAACTATATTTGGTATCTGCGTACCTTGCAAGGTCCTCATGCCCGTCAGACAGTTTTCACTTGACCTCGACCTCATTTCATGGATCAGTGAACAGGGTTAAGTTTTGGTGGTCAAGTCCATATCTCAGATACTAGAAGCAATAGGTCTAGCATATTCGGTGTATGGAAGGACTGTAAGGTGTACATGTCCAACTGGCAGGTGTCATCTGAATTGACCTTATTTTCATGGTTCAGTGGTTATAGTTAAGTTTATGTGTTTTGGTCTGTTTTTCTTATACTGTATGCAATAGGTCTACTATATTTGGTGTATGGAATGATTGTAAGGTGTACATGTCTAGCTGGCAGGTGTCTTCTGACCTTGACCTCAATTTCATGGTTCAGTGGTCAATGTTAAATTTTTGAGTTTTGGTCTTTTTTTCTAATACTATATGCAATAGGTCAACTATATTTTGTGTATGGAAATATTTCATGATGTACATGTCAGTCTGGCCGGTTTTATTTGACCTTGACCTCATTTTCACGGTTCATAGCTCAGTGTTAAGTGTTTTGTGTTTTGGTCTGTTTTTCTATTACTATAAGCAATAGGTCAACTATATTTGTTGAATGGAAGGATTGCAAGCTGTACATGTCTGCCTGGCATGGTTCATCTGACCTTGACCTCATTTTCATGGTTCATTAGTCAATGTTTAGTTTTCTTGGTTAAGTCTGTATCTTAGAAACTATATGCAATAGGTGAACTATATTTAGTGTATTGAATGATTGTAAGGTGTACATGTTTCTTGTTTGGTTTATATGACCTTGACCTCATTTTCTTGGATCATGTTAAGTTTATGTGATAGTTGTAGTAGAGCTTTATATTTAGAACTATCAACATAATATCAATGATTAGTAAAGAAGGCGAGACATTTCAGCGTGTGCACTCTTGTTGTTCATTCTTCAAAAATCTCAATTATAAATGCAAACAATAATTTCTGAATTTACAGTATATGAAAATTTGCAGTTGTTATCAGTGAATGAATAAATGAGTAATACTCAAGGCTAGGGGTCATTTTGATTTTCCAGTAAGTTGTGACTTCACAAACTTGATGATGTTGAATGAATGTAAATTTTAAGATGAAGAACAGCAATAAAAAGTAAAAATCTTTGGATATATTGGTATTTATAACTTAAGTATATTTTAATCAAATCCACCTCATATACCTTTTTCATAAGTTGAAGGTAAATTTTAAGTATATCAAGCATAAGTCCACATTGTGAAAGTTAGCTCTGCATCAAACAAATATGATATTTTAAAGCAATTCACAATTAACTTGTTGTAAGGATCTACATTTGTACTTGGAAGACTTGATATTTTAACTAAATAAGGTCAAATTCAGATACAAGGATTTGTATAGAATATTTTTTGTCATATAAACATTTGACATTTAAAGAATGTAAACACATATGTACTCAGTTTTCAGTTAAATTTTGAAACATCATAGGAAATATATATATGTATCATAACAGTATGTATAAAATAAGTTGATATAGACATAATTTCAGATTATCCTGCAAGAATTGAATTAAATGATTTTTGCCACTTCACTTCAGATCAGTAGTAGCATTGGTCTCCATCACACTATAGGACTAAATGTTCCACTAAAACCCAACACACTATACAGTATGAAGGCAGAGGCTTGTACAGGTGGAGGGTGTATAGTCAGTCAAGTTATAGCAGTACAGACAACAAGTAGTATACCAACAGGGATGTCACCTGTCAGAGTGGACAGTACACAGGCTACCAGTTTACGACTTAGCTGGACTTATCCTACAAATCCAAATGGAAATATTATAAGGTGAGTACAAGATGTTGTTTATAAGTATGGACAGTATACATGCTACCATGTGTACAGCTTACCTTGATTTATATTACAATTGTAAATGGAGGAATTATATGGTTAGTACAGAATTTGTTTTTAGGAGTGGTTAGTTCATATAATCAGGCCACTAGTGTGCAGCATGAGAGGACATATCCTATGATTTCTATCAGGGATATTAGAAGGTTAATATAAGTGGAACTTTAAACTATAAATGCATGCTTATATTAGTGTTTCCATTCAAAATCTCCATCAGTCGTGCCATGCACCTTAAATGGTGACTGAAGCCTAGAAATTTTCCTCATCATGAAACCCCATAAAATGTAGATCTTTTCTTGGCATTGCACAAGGTCATGTTTTTCTCTGACAGTTAATGATGTCTTTACACTAAATCCATTGGATTTTGGATGTGTACTGATGGAAGTTTTAGTCCTATATGCATGATTATTTTATTAGTTGTTATTGGCTTTGAACTAGCTGTCAGTAACAGTGAGTACTCTCAGATCTGTACTTAGTGTCTTTTTGTTGTGGGGATGTATAAGTACCCTGCCACATCCACTCTGTGTTTTTATGCCCCCGCCGTAGTGGTGGGGGCATTAAGTTTTAACCTTGTCCGTCTGTACGTACGAACATACGTCCGTCCGTACGTCCCAAAATTGGTTTCCGTTCTTTAACTTGAGTTTGCCTCAACCAAATGTTATGAAATTTATACACAATGCTTATTACCACAAAACACAGATCAATATGAATTTTGGTGGCGTCACTATAACCATTCTAGAGTTATGCCCCTTTATAAATGGAAAAATTGCAAAGTTTTTAGTTTCCGTTCTCTTAACTTAAGTTTGCCTCAACCATAGGTTATGAAACTTATACACAATGCTTATTACCACAAAACACAGTTCAAGTTTGAATTTTGGTGGCTTCACTTTAACCGTTCTAGAGTTATGCCCCTTTATAAATGGAAAAATTGCAAAGTTTTGATTTTCTTCTAAATATCAAGTATTTTTTTAAATTTGGAGTTATCTTTCTTTGTCTATGATTATAGTTTGAATCAACTACAATCAATGCTTTATACAATATAATGTTTAATTTTGACTTCCACTGATAAAACACAGATCAAGTTGAATTTGGGTAGTGTCACTTTAACCATTATTGAGTTATGCCCCTTTATAAATCGAAAGATTGCAAATTTTTAGTTTCCATTCTGTAACTTAAGTTTGCCCCAACCAAACATTATGAAACCTTTATACAATATTCATTACCACAAAACTAAGATCAAGTACAAATTTTTTATTTCCGTTTTCTAACTTTAGTTTGCCTTAACCAAATGTTATGAAACTTATACACAATACTTATTACTACATAATACAGATTAAGTACGAAATTTGATGGCGACACTTTCACCATTCTTAAGTTATGTCCCTTTATTAACATAAAAATTGCTGAATTTTTCGTTTCCATTCTCTAACTTTAGTTTGGCTTACCCAAATGTTATAAAACTTATACAAAACCATTCTAGAGTTATGCGTGTTTACAAATAGAAAAATTGCTGAATTTTTAGTTTCTGTTCTATACTTAAGTTAGCCTCAACCAAATGTTATGAGACTTACAAACAATGCTTATTACCACAAAACTCAGATCAAGTTCAAATTTGGGTAGCGTCACTTTTACCGTTCTTCAGTTATGTCCCTTTATAACTATATGATATGCAAGCGGGGGCATCATCTGTGGACACATGTGGACACTATCCACATTTATTGTTAGATGTATTTCTGCTTTGTATCCATCTGATGAGTTAAGTCCTTTTCAACTGATTTTTATAGTTTGTTCTTTTGTACTGTCATACACCACTGTCCAAGGTAAGAGAGATTTTGGCGCCATCAAACTAGTTTGACCCTGCCACATTCTGTATGTGCCTGTCCCAAGTCAGGAGCCTGTAATTAGGTGGTTGTCGTTTGTTGCTGTATATCATATTTGTTTTTCGTTCATTATTTTGTACATAAATCAGGCCGTTAGTTTTCTTGTTTGAATTGTTTTACATTTGTCATTTTGGGGACTTTTATAGCTCACTATGCGGTAAAGTTTTACTCATTTTTGAAGGCCGTACGGTGACCTATAGTTGTAAATTTCTATGTCATTTTGTCTCTTTTGAAGAGTTGTCTGATTGACAATTATACCACATCTTCTTATTTTTAAATGTAAGACAATTTAGATATATATATTATGTGAAAATTTTAAAAAATGTCACTGTCATTTTAGCATCTTTGAAATTGTTTTTATAGATTCATACTGTATCAGAGGAGAACCTGTCCACTTTTACCTCAGCCAATACTTAATGTTCCTTGTGTAATTGGTGAGGTGAATACTGTATTTGACGGATTGGCTATACAAAGGGAAATAATTGGTCTGACACCATACACAGCATATGATTTCCAAATCCATGTAGAGAATACTGCAGGGCTGGCTGAAGGTATAGCCTGGGTCAGAGCAGAAACCAAATCATCTGGTATGTATTACTTTAAGATATAATGTAATCATTGTGGACAGGCAAAAATGGCTTTCCTGCTTAATTGATTATTATAGGGCAGATTCAAGATTTTGTCGGATGGTAGAGAGTAAAACTCTTAAATTATAAAAAAAATTACATATATGTTTCATATGTCTTAAGTTATTATCATTGCTGCTACCAGATAAATATACATATGTTTCACATTTTATACATAATTTGTAATAACATGGTCATATTTCAGAGTTGTAGAGTTAACAAACAAATAATTTACAAGTCCTGAACAAATTTATTGTTCTACCGTTTTGATCAATCTGTAAATCTTTTTTAGTTTTTATACGACCGCAAAAAAATTTTTGTGGTCGTATATTGGTATGACGTTGGCGTCGTCGTCGTCGTCGTCGTCGTCGTCGTCCGGCGTCGTCGTCCGAATACACATTAGTTTTCGCACTCTAACTTTAGTTTAAGTGAATGGATCTCAATGAAATTTTACCATAAGGTTCAATACCACAAAAGGAAGGTGGGGATTGATTTTGGGGGTTATGGTACTAACGGTTAAGGAATTAGGGGCCAAAAGGGGCCAAAAATAAGCATTTTTGTAACTTCCAGACATAACTTGTGTGTAAGTGTATGGATCTCTCTGACATTGTACCACAAGGTTCCATATCACAAAGGGAATGCTGGGATTGATTTTGGGGGTAATTGCCTCCAAATTTAGGAATTGGGGGCCAAAAAGGGGCAAAAAACAAGCATTTTTCTAGTTTCATGACAATATCTTGTTTGTAAGTGTATGGATCTTTATGAAATTGTACTACAAGGTTCCATATCACAAAGGGAATACTGGGATTGATTTTTGGGGTAATTTCCTCCAAATTTTAGGAATTAGGGGCAAAAAAGGGGCAAAAAACAAGCATTTTTCTAGTTTCATGACAATAACTTGTTTGTAAGTGTATGGATCTTTATGAAATTGTACTACAAGGTTCCATATCACAAAGGGAAGGCTGGGATTGATTTTGGGGGTTTTCCCTCAAAATTTTAGTAATTAGGGGCCATAAAAGGGCAAAAAAAACATGCATTTTTCTAGTTTCAGGACAATAACTTGTGTGTAAGTGTATGGATCTTTATGAAATTGTACTGCAAGGTTCCATATCACAAAGGGAAAGCTGGAATTGAGTTTGGGGGTAATTGCCCTAAACGTTTAGGAATTTGGGGCCAAAAAGGGGCCAAAAAACAAGCATTTTTCTAGTTTCCAGACAATAACTTGTGTTCAAGTGTATGAATCTCTCTGAAATTGTACTGCAAGGTACCATACCACAAAGGGAAAGCTGGGATTGAGTTTGGGGGTGATGAATCATAAGGGGGTTCAAAAAATTGGGGGGGGGGGGGATTTTTTTTTCCATTTTTTTTCTTTAACATTTTCCATTTTAAATTGGTTATTTCTGATTTATATATAAAAGCAATTAATAATGATATGGTTTGAATAGGCATACATGTGAACCTCCCGACGGGAGTACAATAATCCCGTTTTCAGGGGTCTCCTCCCGACCTCCCGTTGAAGAGGAAAAAATCCTGTATGAAATTTTTCATGAATGAAAAATTTCTGCCCAACATATCATCTCAGGCATCTGGTGTAACTGACATTACCTGAAGTTATATTTTACCTGTAAATCAATTAACATGCATAATTATATGGCTTCACTTGTCAGCTTGGGTGTCAAACATACAGGTAATCAACGATTTTTACCTCAGGCTAACTGCCGTTGTGTAACAAAAACTGTGTATTTATTGGGTTACTTCCCTTGATTTATCCTGTTTTAAGTTACTTTCCTTTTAATAATGAAAATTTTTAAAAGAATATAAATAAAATATAAATTGAACAAATAATCATAAAAGGATGGTTATTAAATGATTTTAAATGTCTTAGGACAAATAAAAAAATAATAATTTGAAAATTATTTGAGGATTCTAGACTTCCTTTCAAGGCTTAAATTGAAATTTATATAATAACTATGACCCTAATTTTACAGATAAAATGATTTTCTGAGTTTGCAAATAAAAACTATTTGCAAGAGAAAAAATAAAAAATAAAAACTATTTGCAGATAGCTAAACAAATGTTCTGGTTGCAATGATTGTCTTATAGAATATGAAGGAAAAAAATTTAAAGAACATACTGGAAAAATACAATGTTAGATTGAACATGTAGAATATAAAGATGGAGAAACTTTATAAGTACAAGGGTACTATAAACATAATAAATTGGATGGAAAGTTGAAGAAAACACACTTTAAAAGACCATTTTTACAGCACACGGTTACATTTACAACAAAATTAATGTCGATTAAAAACCTCCTGATCTGAGTCCTAATCTCCTGACCAAAATTTCCCAATCTCCTGATCTGAGTTTCACAGTCCATCACATGTATGAATAGGTAAATTGAAAATTTTTAAGTTCTTAGACCACTTTCATTCTGTGTCAGAAACCTATGCTGTGTCAAATATTTAATTACAATCCAAATTCAGTGCTGTATCAAGCTTGAATGTTGTGTCCATACTTGCCCCAACTGTTCAGGGTTCGACCTCTGCGGTCGTATCAAGCTGCGCCCCAGCGGAGCATTTTATTTTTATGCTGCATTACATAACTGGTTGTAATTAATTATGTTACATTTCAGCTCCATTATATATTGCCTACCCAAGGGTTAACAGAACAGGAACAGACCTGGTTATTGATTGGTCAGAAAGTTTTACATTGAATGGAAGACTTATGGAGTATATCCTTGTTGGCAACAGTAGGGAGATGTTTCTTGGCATTTATACTGTGTTTACTGTTAAGGATATACCCTTGGATAAAAGTAAGTTGAAGTTTGAAATTGAACTTCAACATTGTCTTATGGTTTTTATACGTCTGTTTACAGGACGTATTTTGGTATACCATTGTCCGTCTGTCCATTCATCTGTCCTTCTGGTGAATTTTGTATATCTATTGACGTGAGCGCCCTTTCGATTTTTATAAATTTTAGATTTTACGTTTCCGAGTTATGGGATTTATTCATAAAAAAGGGGGGATTTTCCAGTTTTCGGACAATAACTCAAAAGTGATTTCAGCAGTTTCATGAAACTTTGGTGAATTGTTTATATCTTTTTACGTGAGCTCTGTTTTGATTTTTATAAATTTTAAATTTTACGTTTCCGAGTTTTGGGATTTTATTCATAAAAAAGGGGGGATTTTTAAGTTTTTGAACAATAACTCAAAAGTGCTTTGAGCAGTTTTCATGAAACTTTGGTGAATTGTTTATATCTATTGACGTAAGCTCCATTTTGATTTTTATAAAATTTAGATTTTCTTTTCCGAGTTTTGGGATTTTCTTCATAAAAAAGGGGGGATTTTCCAGTTTTCGGACAATAACTCGAAAGTGCTTTGAGCAGTTTTCATGAAACTTGGTGACTGGTTTATATCTATTAAAATAACCTCCCTTTAGTTTTTTATAAATTTCTGATATGACATTGAGGAGTTATGGAACTTTATTCTTTGAAAAAGCGATAGGTGTATCATGCGTTCTTGGCCCAGCTCTTTATTAATTTTTATGCCCCTGCTGAAGTGGAGGGGGCATTAAGTGTTAACTTTGTCCATCTGTATGTCCGTCCGTAATATGTACGTCCCAAAAGTAGTTTCCGTTCTCTAACTTTAGTTTGCCTCAACCAAATGTTATGAAACTTATACACAATGCTTATTCCCACAAAATACAGATCAAGTTTAAATTTGGATGCTTCACTTTTCAGACCTGCCAACTAACATGATTTATTGGGGATTTCTCCCATGAGAGTTGTTGATATTAATTTTAAAATTCTTTATAACATAAACTGAACACCACAAAACAGTCATTCAAATGAGTTAAAAGAGTATTTAAGCACATATATACTCATTCAAAAAATATAGTAGTAGCTTAAAACACTTATGACAATATAAGAGGAGCATTATATCCTCTTGCAATTAAAATCCCCCATGGAGATTTTGAAAAATTGACAGTTATGCCTTTTACCTTTTTAGAATTATGCCCCTTTATAATTCAATATAATGGAATTCTAAATAACTGTTATACAAGTGAGAGGTTTAGCTAGCTATAAAAACCAGGTTTAATCCAACATTTTCTACATAAGGAAATGCCTGTACAAAGTCAGGAATATGACAGTTGTTTTCCATTAGTTTGATGTGTTTGAGCTTTTGATTTTGCCATTTGATAAGGGACTTTCCGTTTTGAATTTTCCTTGGAGTTCGGTATTTTTGTTATTTTACTTTCTCCTTTAAAAAGGGAAAAATTGCTGAATTTTTCGTTTCTGTTCTCTAACTTTAGTTTGCCTCAACCAAATGTTATGAAACTTATACACAATGCTTACCACGAAACTCAGATCAAGTTTGAATTTGGGTGGCGTCACTTATACCGTTCTAGAGTTATGCCTCTTTATATACGAAAAAATTTCTTTCATTCTCTAACTTCAGTTTGCCTCTACCAAATGTTATGAAACTTGTACACAATGCTTATTACCACAAAAATATAATGTCATATGCAAGCTGGGGGCATCATTTGTGTCCCATGGTCATTCTCCATTTATTTATTATCAGATTGATTATAGCAATATCTGACAATGCAATTATTAGTATATCAAGTAAGGCATTATAGAAACTTGAAATTTATTTGTTGTCAAAAATGAATGAAAACTTGTGTGAAGGAAAACTATACTTTGTAGCTACTTTATTATTTTACATTTTTGCTGAACTTTGATCTCTAAATGAGAGAACTGTTAATAAATTTTCCTATAGCAAATCTTCCAGTAGTTGTCATTGAAATTGTTCCTGTTAAAAATATCAAAGTATATTAACCTAATGAATAGGAAATATTTTTGTTTTACTTCAAAGGTTTATCATAATGTCATATTTTGATTTATACTCTTTGTTTACTTCAGATTCAGAATTTACTTTAAGACTGGTAACAGATTATGGTTCTGTAGAATCACCAGTATTTATGTATGACCCTATAAATGCAGGTAACAAAAACATTTTTCATGGGATATATTATATAGTTAAACTATTTTAAATGTGATGATAGTGCTTTATAGTTACTGAAACATGTTGATCAACAACTATAACTATAATATTGACAGTTAATTGTATTATCCTTACCCTTCAAATCATTTAGATGTTATATACATTTAGAATTTTAGATCCTTAGTAATGTTAAAGGGACTCATCAAATTCTAATTTTAAAGAGAAAATGAGGAAAACCATTGACTGAAATGTATATTCTATTTTGGAAATGAATTTAATTTTTCTTTACACAAAAAAATTATGTATGATATAGATTATTTTAATCAGAATGTATTAATGATTGCAGGCACAACAACAGTTCTGGGCATTATATCAACACCAGATAATACATTCTACACTGAAATCTGGTTTATTGTACTGGTGTCTCTGATTGGTGCCCTGTTGATCTTTACACTGCTAGCATGCTGTCTCAGACAGATTGGGGCTACCAGACCATACATCAGAGAAAGAAATCCATTAGAATTATCAAAGTATCCAGCCACATTTGATCCAAATGAGCATGATGACAGCTCTGAATCAGTAAGTGTGTAACCCTTATATTGTATGTGTACACTAACACATATGTAAGTATGGACAACATATCTAGGTATTTACATTAATTCAGAAACATGTGAGCTTTGGTATAATCTGATTGCTTCAATTCACTAATTCAAATAGTGTTACATATGTTAAAACTTGCATCCGTCTGTCTGTCTATATGTCCATCACCCAGTCCGGCAAATCAGTTTTTCCATTTTTTTTCTTCATCCTTGAAGATATTGATTTGATATTTGGTATATAGTTTTATCGTGACCAGTTACAGATCATGTTTGAAATTTTGTTCCTGGCTGATGTTTTTGTGCAGAGTTATGGTCCTTGGACTTCGAAAATTCATGCAAGTAATCAGTTTTCTGCACTTTTTTTAGTCATGCATGAAGATATTGATTTGATATTTGGTATATAGTTTAACCATGACAAGTAATATATCAATTTCAAATTTTGTTCCGCATGTTAAAACTTGCATCCGTCTGTCTGTCTATCTGTCCATCACCCAGTCTGGCAAATCAGTTTTTCCATTTTTTTTCCTTCATCCTTGAAGATAATGTTGATATTTGGTATATAGTTTTATCATGACCAGTTACAGATCAAGTTTGAAATTTTGTTCCTGACTGATGTTTTTGTGCAGAGTTATGGTCCTTGGACTTCGAAAATTCATGCAAGTAATCAGTTTTCTGCACTTTTTTTGGTCATGCATGAAGATATTGATTTGATATTTGGTATATTATAGTTTAACCATGACAAGTTATATATCAATTTCAAATTTTGTTCCGGTCTGATTATTTTGTGCAGAGTTATTGTCCTTGGACTTAAAAAAACTCTGGCAAGTAATCAGTTTTCCACATTTTTTTTCATCATACTTGAAGACATTGATTTGATATTTGGTACATAGTTTTACCATGGCAAGTTACAGATCAAGTTCAAATGTTTGGTTCAAATGATTTTTTTGCATAGTTATGGTCCTCAGACTTAGAAATTTCACGCAAATAATCAGTTTTCTGCTCTTTTTTTTTGTTATGCTTGAAGATATTTGATTTTATATTTGGTATAATGTTTAGCCATGACAAGTTATTGATCAAGTTCGAATTTTGTTTTGGTTCAGATGATTATTTTGCAGAGTTATGGTCTTCTGACTTAAAAAATTCACACAAATAATCAGTTTTCCACACTTTTTACGTCATCCTTGACGATATTAATTTTATATTTGTTTTATAGTTTACACTATGTCAAGTTATAGATCAAGTTAGCATTTTGTTCTAGTACAATGAACTTTTAACTGGTAGGGGACTATGTATTGCCATGCAATACTCTCGGAATGCTTGTTTCTAATAAATTACTATGAATATCTTCATAGGCATCATCAGGGAGACCATTTCACACCAAGTCAAGTATAAGTTCATATGGAAAACAAAAAGATGGAATAACAAACTATAGCTTTGAGAGTGGTTATCATGAGGATAATTCTAGTAAAAGTAGATCTAGTTATCTTGATGACCAATCTGGTAAAATGAGATTATCAGATTTATTCAAAGATGATGTGGATAAAGCAGTCTGGGAGGATTATCCTGATAATGGTCTGGTAAGTTTTTATAGTTTCAAGATCTGCAATAGAAGGCATGTGCACTTCTCTGCTTTAAACTGATTCACATATGTAAACAATGCAACTAAGAGTACTCTCAAGAAATAGGTACCATGACAAATATTTCAGTTTTGAGATTTGGATGTGGGTAAGTTTTTAGTGTCATAGAATCAGGTTTATTGTATTATGGTTTATGTCATACTAAATAACCTAATAAATATATACTGCGTTAGCAGATGCATTTTGTAACATGTTTGGGAAGTTTGGAATAACACAGATTGTTCATTAATTAATTTGTGTCTTGTTTGAAAACTGTACTGTTGTTTGTGGTTCTTTTCCCAAACATGTGTTTGTTTAACTAGTAACCAACTAGATTCACTGGTTTCTGGACTGTCTTCCGAACAGAGTATGTCAGATGCTGTTCTGCATCCGTTCTGAATTTGGTCTAGATTCCAACACATTTACACTGTCAGTTCAAGGGGATTTAGGGGGGGGGGGGCTCTTTTCTGAATGCTGTAAATTAATGGTAAGTTTTACTTTAGTGTCATAGAATCAGGTTTATGTCATACTAAATAACCTAATAAATATGTACTGCGTTAGCAGATGCATTTCGTAAACTTTGCCAATAATACATTAAAAAAAGATAGCTTTTAAAAATTACCAAAATATTGTTCAGTACAAAAGACCACACCAACAAACAAAGACAAAAAAAATAGGTCAAAGGCTCAATTGGCCAGTTTGCAATATTTGTGACTAAATTTTGCTGAAAATGACTATGTTCAGATGTCTGAAAAAATGAGAACAAATTTTCACACAATGCCATAATAGCAGATGTTCAACTTCCACATATGTGTAATCTTCCTGTGAATTTTCAGGGATTTTGGAATAAACTGTAGGAGTTGATAACACAATTTAGGTACCCACATTTCCTCGTCAACCAGTCCATCTGTTTTTATTCATCCGCGACAAAATGTTGAGAGACATATTAATTTACCTCTGTCCGTCCGTTCAGTTATAGATACATGATATTCCGTCTATCTCCTCTTACAGTTTTTGAGCTATAGCAAATATTCTCAAAATGCCAGGTGTTTGGACTTAGTCAGAAAGGGGGGGTTAGATATTCACAAAAACCAGTAGTTGGACTTCATTCCCTTCTCACTTGCTTTATAATTGAAAACATGGTTTGTACTTCTACAGTTTAATGTCCCTAATGCAATAAATACCGGGAAGTTGAACTTAGTCACCACTGGAAATAGAAAGTAAAACTTGGTGTCTTCTTAAACTGGAAAGTTGAAACCTTTTGGCTGGACATTCAGTCCTGCAAGTGTTGACATTCAGAATAAAGATAAAAGATAGATCATCATACATAGTGTTAAATTTATAATTTCTTATGGTCAGGTCGAGGCAACATTTGTGTCTTACAGACAGTGCAACAATTTCAAGTTGTACTTCAACATCACTGTTTGTCAAATCTAAAGTATTTGGACATATACTCAGGCATATGGCAGAGCAGAGGAGGGCATCGTCCATATCTAGTTCTCTATTGAATTGAGTCACATTTTTAGCTCACTGGGGCCCAAAGGGCCCCATGTGAGCTTATGCCATCACTTGGCGTCCGTCGTCGTCGTCTGTCGTCATCCGTCGTCGTCGTAAACTATTTAAAAAATCTTCTCCTCTGAAACTACTGGGCCAAATACCCTCAAAAAGGGGTCAAATGCAGTTTTTATACGCCCGTCAATTTTTGGTATACAAATGTCCGGTGTCCGTCCGTCTGTCCGTCTGTCTGTCTGGCGTAAACATGTCGCACCGTAACTTGAGAATGACTTATCCAAATTTCATGAAACTTAACATAGTTGTTTCTTATGATGGTCAAACGATCTGTATACTTTTTGGTGAAAATAAGATTAAAACTTTTTGAGTTACGGGACTTAGTAACTAAAACAGGTGTGTGTTTTTTTTCACGTGTCGCGCCTTATCTCAAAAACAATTTATGATTATTGCTTAAAACTTTACACACTTCTTAGTTGTATTAACCTTAAGATCTGTATACTTTTTGGTGATGATTCAAAATTTTATTTTTGAGTTATTGAGTATTTTGTAAAAAAAGGGGAGGGGTTTTTCACATGTCTCGCCGTATCTCAAAAACGATTTATGATTATTGCTTAAAATTTTACACACTTCTTAGTTATATTAATCTAAAGATCTGTATACTTTTTGGTTTTGATTCAAAATTTTATTTTTGAGATATTGATTTTTTTTTTTTAAAAGGGGGGTTTTCACATGTCGCGCCGTATCTCAAAAACGATTTATGATTATTGCTTAATAGTTATATTAATCTTAAGATCTGTATACTTTTTGGTTTTGATTCAAAATTTTATTTTAGAGACATTGAGTTTTTTGTAAAAAAAAAAGGGGGGTTTTCGCATGTCACGCCATATGTCAGAAACTATTTATGCTTATTGCATAAAAATTCACACACAAGACGATGGGCGTATCATGCGCTCATGGCACAGCTGTTTATTGGCTTTTATCTCAAAAACTAAAGCTTTTAGAGCAAATCTGACATGGGGTAAAATTGGTCAATTGGTCAAGATCTATCAGCTCTGAAATTTTATTGTTGGGTTGCCGCCACCGAATTGGTAGTTTTAACAAAATTTTGCAGTTTTTTGTTATTATTTTGAATATTATTATAGATATATATAAACTGTAAGCAGAAATAATGTTCAGCAAAGTAAGATCTACAAAAAAGTTAATATGACCAAAATTGCCAATTGGCCCCTTAAGGAGTTATTGCCCTTTAAAGACAATTTTACACAATTTGTTCATCAAGTTTGCTAACATTTAAAAATCTTCTCCTCTGAAACAACTGGGCCAATTACCTTCAAACTTCAACTAAATGTTCCTTAGGGTATCTTGTTTATAAATGTATCTGAAGTTTGTATCCATCGACAAACATGGCTGCCATGGCTAAAAATAGAACATAAGGGTCAAATGCAGTTTTTGGCTTATATCTCAAAAACTAAATCTTTTAGAGCAAATGTGACATGGGGTAAAATTGTTTAATTGGTCAAGATCTATCTGCCTTGAAATTATCAGACAAATCGAACAACCCATTGTTGGGTTGCTGCCACCGAATTGGTAGTTTTAACAAAATTTTGCAGTTTTTTGTTATTATTTTGAATATTATTATAGATATATATAAACTGTAAGCAGAAATAATGTTCAGCAAAGTAAGATCTACAAAAAAGTTAATATGACCAAAATTTTCAATTGACCCCTTAAGGAGTTATTGCCCTTTAAAGACAATTTTACACAATTTGTTCATCAAGTTTGCTAACATTTAAAAATCTTCTCCTCTGAAATACAGGTGAGCGATTCAGGCTCTTGAGAGCCTCTTGTTTTCATGCCAGACCCTTTTATAGCTTACAATACAGAACACACCCTAAATATAGCTATTTCATAAACAAAAGGCTGCTATTGGAAGTGTAATCTCATTTGTTTATCTTGTTTGTTTGAATATTATATATGTTTCTGTATGAAGAATCCTTTATTTGACCTTGTACTTGTATTTTGCAGTTTCTGTATGAAGAATCCTTTATTTGACATTGTACTTGTATTTTACAGTTTCTGTATGAAGAATCCCTTTTTATACGACCGCAAAAAAATTTTTGTGGTCGTATATTGGTATGACGTTGGCGTTGTCGTCGTCCGAAGACACATTGGTTTTCGCACTATAACTTTAGTTTAAGTGAATGGATCTCTATGAAATTTTACCATAAGGTTCAATACCACAAAAGGAAGGTTGGGATTGATTTTGGGGGTTATGGTACCAACAGTTAAGGAATTAGGGGCCAAAAAGGGGCAAAAAATAAGCATATTTGTAACTTCCAGACATAACTTGTGTGTTAGTGTATGGATCTCTCTGACATTGTACCACAAGGTTCCATATCACAAAGGGAATGCTGGGATTGATTTTGGGGGTAATTGCCTCCAAATTTTAGGAATTAGGGGCCAAAAAACAAGCATTTTTCTAGTTTCATGACAATAACTTGTGTGTAAGTTTATGGATCTTTCTGAAATTGTACAAGGTTCCATATCACAAAGGGAAAGCTTGAATTGAGTTTGGGGGTAATTGCTGAAAATGTTTAGGAAAAAGGGGCCATAAAGGGTCCAAAAATAAGCATTTTTTTAGTTTCCAGACGATAACTTGTGTTCAAGTGTATGGATCTCTCTGAAATTGTACTGCAAGGTACCATACCACAAAGGGAAGGCTGGGATTGATTTTGGGGGTAATTGCCTCAAAAAATTTTAGGAATTGGGGCCAAAAAGGGGCAAAAAAACAAGCATTTTTCTAGTTTCAGGACAATAACTTGTGTGTAAGTGTATGGATCTTTATGAAATTGTACTACAAGGTTCAATATCACAAAGGGAAAGCTGGGTTTGAGTTTTGGGGTAATTGCCCTAAACGTTTAGGAATTTGGGGCCAAAAAAACAAGCATTTTTCTAGTTTCCAGACAATAACTTGTGTTCAAGTGTACGGATCTCTCTGAAATTGTACTGAAAGGTACCATACCACAAAGGGAAGGCTGGGATTGAGTTTGGGGGTGATGAATCATAAGGGGGTTCAACAAATTTGAGGGGGGATTTTTTTTTAATTTTTTTTCTTTAAAATTTTCCATTTTAAATTGTTTTTTTCTGATTTATATATAATAGCAAATAATAATGATATGGTTTGAATAGGTAAATTAAAAAATTTTAAGTTCTTAGACCACATTCATTCTGTGTCAGAAACCTATGCTGTGTCAAATATTTAATCACAATCCAAATTCAGTGTTGTATCAAGCTTGAATGTTGTGTCCATACTTGCCCCAACTGTTCAGGGTTCGACCTCTGCGGTCGTATCAAGCTGCGCCCAGCGGAGCATTTTATTTGACATTGTACTTGTATTTAACAGTTTCTGTATGAATAATCCTTTATTTGACCTTGTATTTGTATTTTACAGTTTCTGTATGAAGAATCCTTTATTTGACCTTGTAATTGTATTTTACAGTATCTATATGAAGAATCCTTTATTTGACCTTGTATTTGTATTTTACAGTTTCTGTATGATGAATCCTTTATTTGACCTTGTACTTGTAGTTTATAGTTTCTGTATGATGAATCCTTTATTTGACCTGGTACTTGTACTTTACAGTTTCTGTATGATGAATTCTTTATTAAACCTTGTACTTGTACTTTACAGTTTCTGTATGATGAATCCTTTATTTGACCTTGTACTTGTACTTTACAGTTTCTGTATGATGAATTCTTTATTAAACCTTGTACTTGTACTTTACAGTTTCTGTATGATGAATCCTTTATTTGACCTTGTACTTGTACTTTACAGTTTCTGTATGATGAATCCTTTATTTAACCTTGTACTTGTACTTTATAGTTTCTGTATGATGAATGCTTTATTTAACCTTGTACTTGTACTTTAGTTTCTGTATGATAAATCCTTTATTTGACCTTCTATTTTTATTTTACAGTTTCTGTATGATGAAGATTCAGATGATAGTACCTTACCTGGATATCAGTTTGGTGATACAGTGCTATGACATTTTAATTGGATTGTAATTTATGTTTTATAACAGAGAATTGTTTTGTATCATATTTTGAAATCATTATTATTTGTAAATTATTTATATATATTTATATATATTTGTTTATTTATTTATTTATTTTGTAAATGAAAATATATAGTATTATGATGTTTTCTTCATCTTTTTTAATACATAAAAGGATTACAGGAATTAGCCAAAAATATTAGAGGTACAACAGACCATACCATTAACACTTGACTCCTCTGAATATATATATATATATGTACAAACAAAGACAATATATATATATATATGTACAAACAAAGACAAAAATATATATAAGTACATTGTACATACAAAGACAAAAAACCAACACTTAGTCCAATTAGACTGGCTTGGTACAGGAACAGATTAATTAAACTGGTTTACAGTTGTAAGCACATACCTCCAATTGTGTTTACCTAGACCATATGTTATAAAAGAAAAACATAATTAGTTCTGCACAATCTAGCTACCAACATGATGGCTACTAACTTGAAGAAGGAATAAAAGACATCACAATTTTTTGAAAGCAAGGTCAAACAGTGCTTTCATACTACAAGAAGCTAGCTCAGGGAGCCAAAGGTGTTGGTTGAATACTGCCACTTGAGAAAGAAAATCAAGAAACAACTCTCCTAATAGGTTGTCTGTCTTTATGAAGTATATCTTATTTAGGTAGATTGAGCACCATAGATTCTTAACTTTCACATAATACAAATCTACTAATATTAGTAACATATTTAAAACATATTTGTTTAATCTATGTTGTGATGTCTGCTTCTGTGTTAGCAACACCTTATAGTAGCCTCAACATTCATAGTTACTCTTAAGGTTCCACTAAGTCAAAATATAGGACACTTCATAAACATCTAAACTTTGCCTGTATTTTTCAACCTATAATGAGTAAAATCCTAAACTATGAGAACATATGTTCATTTAAACATACTTAACATATACACACTGTGTAAATTGTAAATAAACTTGAAATTGTTATGCTGTGGCCAAACTGGTTCTTGGGGTGAACACTAAATTTTCAAAAAAATCTGAAGGCCTGCGAGACGACTTAATTTGCTTAAAATTGGTATGGACGAATACTGTTACATGTAATGCAGGGCAAGCTCATGTTGATTTGTCACATACATATATTTTAATGGCATATTTGTCCAATTTCTGTATTGTACCTTCGATATTTGTTCACCTAGATACATTAAATTAACTGAAACTCGAAAATCAATACATTTTCTGAAAAATCAACATGAGCTTGCCCTGCATTAGATATAACAGTATTCGTCCATACCAATTTTAAACAAATTAAGTCGTCTCGCAGGCCTCCAGATTTTTTTGAAAATTTAGTGTTCACCCCAAGAACAGGTTTGGCCACAACATAACAATTTCAAGTTTATTTACAATTTACACAGTGTGTATATGTTAAGTATGTTTAAATGAACATATGTTCTCATAGTTTAGGACTTTACTCATTATAGGTTGAAAAATACAGGCAAAGTTTAGATGTTTATGAAGTGTCCTATATTTTGACTTTAGTGGAACCTTATAAATAAAAAAGGTAACTTTGAAGTAGTTTAATAATGTGTAAACTTGGCTGTTTCACTCACTTATTGAATTAAGGCCATTTTTAGCTGTGTAGGAATTCATACTTGTGATGTTATGAAATCGGTTTATACATATATAATTTTTTGGGTTGCCATGACCTCACCATTGAAATAAGACTTTACATACAACATTGGAATTCTTGTGTAAAAGAGCATGATTTCCCTTACAAAGTTACTAAAGTTGATCAAACCCACTCAGTAAGCAACCATTTTACCAACTGGGCTAACAGGATACTGAATTTATAGATTTAATGGATTGATTTGACATCCCTTTTAGCACTCTTGGCTGTATCATGGTGGCCAGTTTTATTGTTGGAGGAAGCTGGAGAACAACTGACCTTCAGAATGAAAATTGGCAATCCTAGTACAATTAAGATCAGAGTTCAAAGCACCTTGCCATGACATCATTGTCAAGAGGATATGGATCACTGACCTTCAGAATGAAAACTGGCAATCCTAGTACAATTAAGATCAGAGTTCAAAGCACCCTGCCACGACCTCATTGTCTACAGGATATGGATTACTGACCTTCAGAATGAAAACTGTCAATCTTAGTACAATTAAGATCAGAGTCCAAAGCCCCTTGCCACGACCTAATTGTCAACAGGATATGGATCACTGTTGAAGAACTACTTTACGTTAAATGGAGGGAGTTTCTTAAATCTACTATAGTCAGGGAAAACACAGCTCAATTCCTCCACACCTGGAAAGCCTTCATAACATGATTATCCAAATCAGATAAATCACATTGTCAATCAATGTTTCTCGTAGCTTTGAAAATCTTTATTGTTTATAAGAAACAATGTTTAGCCAATAATCTGTATACTTTTAACTGGGCAAATAAATACCTATAGAAATAAAAGTCATAACTGGAGAAATCAGATGACTTCTTTCCTAAGACAGATTTAACTTCATTGGCTGTGTCTTTCAATAGGTAGCTCCAACATGGTCAAATCTGACATGAGACCTTGCAGATTTGTCATGCGACCCTGCCACCTGATGTCTCATTTAAAAGGACCAGTGACCTTTAAAAATGTTCAAAACCAATTTTAACTAATTGTTTTATTTGCTCAAAAGTCACCTGGTGACCTTAGGCAATTTTTAAAAGTGACACTGTGACCTAAGGAAGGTACACCACTGGAGCCCCAGTTAAAGATGTTAAATTGTTTTATATAATCCTCAAGAAACTGCCACTGATAAATAGCCCTTTGACACCTTTCACTACCGGTATATATATATTACTAGAAAATAACCGTGAAATATGCTTTGGTTCTTAATTTGAAGATATATAGTTGTGGTGTAAGGCGATATTAAGATCTTAAATCTTTTTGAAGCGTGTCAGACGAAATACCACCACTCAATATGACACCCAAAAGAATAGTCTTCCCGACAGAAACTATTGGCGTTTGTGATCTAATCATAGGATATGTCATTGTTATACCCTGGATGCATTGCACTGATCAAAATAATATGAAAATTTTATGCATTAATATGAATGGGGGGGTCACTTTCCAGCTGCACTTCTGTACCCATTTTTAATTGAAAACCGAAGTAATCCCTCCACTATTTTCATGTTGAATTGCTGCTGTTCCCCGGAAGGAAAAGCTCTTAACGTGTAAAAATCTGTTGTTAAATTGTGTCAAGGGAATGTGTATCACAAAGTGTTTCAGTGTAAGGTCAATCCACATCTGATTTCAGGTGTTTTCGTGCTCGGAACCACCCCCATATATGAGTGGGCTGAAAATTTTATGCATTAATATATGAATGGGGGGTCACATTTGAGCCGCACTTCTGTACCCATTTTTAACCGTAAACCGAAGTAATCCCCCCGACCTTTAGGGTATACTTTTTGCTGAGCAGACCATAATACTTGCAGACAAAGCGGAAATGATGACGGCATATAAATTTTTGCTAATTTACCCAAAAATAATTCGCAACATGCTCCATTCTGCAGAACAATATTTTTTGCACCCCCCCTAACATTAGATCATGGATCCGCACCTGATTTCTGGTGTTTCCATGCTCAGAACCACTCCCATATATGAGTGGGTTGAAAATTTTATGCATTAATATATGAATGGGGGTGGGTCACATGGTACCCATTTTTAACCGAAAACTGAAGTAATCACCCCACCCTTTTCATGTTGAGTTCATGCGGTTCCCCAGAAGGAAAAGCTCTTGAAGTGTAAAAATCTGTTGTTAAATTGCTGAGAGCGTCAAGGGAATGTGTATCACAAAGTGTTTCGGTGTAAGGTCAATATTTACCGTATCTGCTATGAAATAAAATTTAATTTTGCCGGGCAGATGTGCAATGATGGCACGTAAATTTCAGAGCTGAACGTCGTGAAGGACGGTCGATCCAACTGTTTTTTTTTTCAATTTTAACCCCCAAATACCCCCCAAAAGATCTTGAAATGAACACATAATAAACTACGCTGGTCATTACCCCTTTGTGGTATAAAACAATATTCGTGGATTTTATGTGAAAGAAGAAAACGAGACATCCAATTTCAACCCTATTCATTTTTTAGTAATATAGATAAGCAATAAAGTTCAAAGGTATGAAATGCTGCAAAAATTCAGTGACAGTTTAAAAAAACATACCGGTATAAATACAAACTATAGACTATATTTCTTATCTTTTATTTAAAACTTCTTGTTTACAAAGGAAAGAAAAAAAAGTAAAATGTATAATGGTTGTCTGAGACAATAAGTACTTAGACGATTTATAAAAACATTTATCAGCTGTAAATTTAAATAACTTTTACTGAGTGTTTTCAAAATCGTGTTTATCAATTACATGATTATCTGCAAATGCTATACCCTCAAGGTCACACTCTAATCTTGGATGAATGAAAACCAGAAAACATTCAGTCTATTCTTCAATCCCTTTGACAAAAATGTATACTTAGGACCAGAAAATCAAGGCATACCGGTACACACACTATCTCTTTAACAGTCATTTAAAGCCATTTCGGTATAATCTGAGTAAACATAAACTTTATCTCCAAGTCCCATTAATAATCCAGTATTTCCCTGTCTATCATTCCATGTCTTTGAGTATAACACAGATGGGAAGAAATCATAACTTGTTGCCATTGGAGGAGGAATAGTCTTCAAGAGTTCACCGGTCTGTAAACACCATAATCTTGTATATCCTTCTTGGTCAACTGAAAAGTGTTTAAATATGGTTTTAGGTTCATCACAGCTGATATATTAAATGATTAGTAACCTGTACAAAATTGCTTAAAAAATTAATCTCCTTAGCGCATCATTTTTTTTTTTGCTCTGTGATTATGGTAGATAATGATCCTAACATCCAGTTAAAATATTACCTGGTATGGATGGCTGTTTAAAGTCCAGCATCAAATTAAATTTATATTCAGAACGAGAACATGATAATGTAAAATGAATATTAACCCTGCTTTGTACTAGACCGACATGCAAATCTAGATTTTTAATGTGCTAGTTCACAAGGTAACGGTCCACAGGAAGACATGTCACTTGACCCGGACACATTATTCTGACTAGGAGCCGACTAGTCTTTGCTCTTACTCCTTTATATCCTTAAGAATATGATATTTACACAAATAATCTTTCTGGAATATCACTGCTACCAAGGAAAACAGTAATTACTTATGCTGTGAATACAAATTTAGCAAGAAAGATATGAAGAAAATAATATGAATATCAAAGAAAACAGTAGTTTAGTTAGCTAATGAACACTTATATTGGAAGAAATAAATAAAGTTTTTTTAAACAAAAGACAATAATCCTACAAAATCAATATTGCATAAACCAAAATGTCCAATCTTATAAGTGTTTTAATTAATGTTATAAGGTGGCATTATGCAAAACAGTAATGAAATCATATACACTTGTGAAGTTAAAAATACATATTGAGTTAGATCATCTCTTTCACAAGTGTATGCTATCAGGAAAAAGGAATATCTTGTTTTCATACAAAAATAAAAAGATATTTTCCAAATGTTCAATATATATATATTGGCTGCACTTCAAGAAATTCTCTCTAACTCTCTTCAATATGTGATTGACTCTGACATGGAATAGACACTTTATAATGGATTAATTGTTGCTAGCTAAATGCCCTGTGGCAAATATTTCATGTGAATTCAAGCAAATTAACAATTAATGCAACAGGTAGGTTATGTTAAGTGGGTTGAAGGGTGAAGGGCAAAATTTCTACTGTCACTGGAAAATGAGGGTTTCTTGGATAGGGGACAGACATTTTGATTTGCAACAGTGTACATTCAGAACCCTCAAAGAGTTGTTGCAATGGTTCTTTAATGTACAGAGAGATTAGACACAAAGCATTGGATTAAATGTTCCCATTTCGACAAGACATGCATGCGTATTTGTACAACCGAATAACAGACCCCTTAGTTAAGTAAAAGGTTTTATACCCATGTTAAAGAAGTTCAAAAGATGACCATGGTTCTACACCACAGTCTACCTTTTGAATTTCTCTCTAATAGTAAACCAGGTTAAATGGTGCTTCAAACTTACTTAAATGCCATTTAACTGTACCGTGACAGTAAAACAGAAACCGCAATACAAGCATTGATTTAAGGGCCTATCTACTTGAAGAGCTAAAAGTAGTTCTTAAATACTATTCAGATGCAGATCCAGGATTTTGAAAAAAGGGGTGCGGAGGGGGCCTCAAACTAAACAAAGTTTGGATTGGAACAGGTAAAATGTCTGCATTAACCATAAATTTAGCTTTATGAGGGGGGCTGGTCAGTCATGTACTCCTGCAATGATTCCAGAAGTTAAAGTATCTGGATAATGAAATGTAATTTCAAATCTGATCAAACAAAAGAATGGGCAATACATTTTTGTACTTACCAAAATGTACTCAACTTCTTATAGTAGTAAAAAGTAGTAAATGTAGCCGTTGTTTAAGACATGTTAATATGCCTTACACATTAAAATCTTTCTACATACCTCCATAAACAATTTCTTCAGACTGGTCAACATGTATAGGTATCCTTAAGTATTCATTTTTTATTCCTAAATACTCTGTTACAACCTTTCTAGTTCTTAAATCCCATAGGTTTATCTAAAATAGAGAAATAATAGAGAATTATCTTTATTACTTTTCTTAACACAGAAAATTGGAGAAACAGTATTGCTCCCTTTACATCTATCTATAATTCATTTATCGACTTACTCTGTGTACCAGTTATGCTGTTTCCCAATGTCTACACAGTACACAGTGGATAAAATTTTGAAACTGGAATCAAATGTGATAATTCAACCCAAGTATGGTTTGAATTAGCTTATGTGTCCCAAAGTTTAGAGTATATCATCCCAGAAGGTCTTTCAACACAAATAAATGTAAATAAACTGTTGACACAAAGAATGAAATTTTGATAGTACAATGTATAATGCAAATGTGTCATCAAAATGGCAACCCTTTGATGATAACATATTATTTTGATCCATCACTACCAAAGAACTATTTCACAAACATTCATCCCAATAGAATCATTATATTCCGAAAGAAGAGGCTCCTACGAGCCTGAACCACTCACTTGTCAAATATTTAAATATATATGTAGGTAATATGAAAAAACTCAAAATTCTATAAGGAGTCATCTCATACTTGTAATGAAAACGAAAGACATTCTGAGCATTTTTGCCCAGTCAAATTTTATCTATCTATTGTTGTTTTCAAGATATCAGACAATAAATGCATTTTTACCATTGTGTTCCTATCCATGGCAACGAGTTGGTTGATTGGCAAGAACAAAATAAACAAATTAAATAATAAATATCTTAAGGATCACTCTGTTAAAGTTTGGTTGAAATTCGTGCAGTGGTTTCAGAGGAGAAGATTTTTTGTAAAAGTTTACGTTGATGGACTCCAAGTTATGGCAATAGCTTACATGGCCCTTTGGGTCTAGTTAGCTAAACAGTACAAAGTGGTACCTTAATCCTATTATTTTATTTATTTATATAACATTGGCAATGTTGGTTGTTTCCAAGAAAAACAGATGACAGCATCAGAATGATGATTTTTGACTACTATTATATAGGTATCCATATGTAAATACATGTACTATGTTCTACAATAATGCCAATAATGTTAGCCAGGTAATTAGGCAGCTTTTGAGGGCCAGATATCGTGAGAAAGAATTAGAAAAAAAGAAGTTTATAGGTGACCATCTTGCCTATTTTTAAATCATAGCATGAGATTGACAGCTACAAGGAAAATGTTAACAGATGAATTTGTTTGAATGTACTGTATGAATATCTGAACGTATGCTCTTTTTAATTTTAATTTTTACCTGTCCTTTCACATCACTGGCCAATAGATGGACATCATTTTGTAGTAACTGTAATCCACAGACACTAGAAGATTGAGTCAGCTGGTTGACAGCATACGTTGATATACTTCGTAGGTCATGGGTGAAAATCTGACTGTTCCTTGTACCACTATACAAACAGTTCCCATTCTGTAATATACATATATAGTAATATACATGTTGTAGAATATCATTCATCCTATTTTTGAAGTACATTATACATTTAATTTTAATATCATATTTAAAACCATTTTTAAAAGTAAAATTAATTTATTTCTAATTGTTACAGATCTATAAAGGGTACAAGATCGTTTGTTAAATTTCAGGCAAGTAATTTTTTTGGGGGTAAAACTGACAAAATGACTGATAGGGTGTTGGATGTGTTCCTATTTCAAAGGATTTGAAAAAACACTGTTTCTCTGAAATAATAGCACGACATTTACAATACGTTCTATTATAAAAATCTATTCAGATATATAGCATCATGGTAAAAAATATAGCACTACAATACCATGGTGTTATAAGGTCCTAGGTAAATACTGATTATTGTCAAATGCAATTTGTTGATCTCAAGGTGTGTATATTTTTTTAACTTTCCATTACTAAAATCTATATGTCACAGTTTTTCTCATATCCATATTTACATGTATGTATTTGATATTTAAATTTTATCACTGCATTGAATCCCAATTAAGAACAGGAAAGAAAACCCAATGTATAGATTAAAAGTAACTTAATACAATAAATTTTCCAACAATTTTAAATCCATGCATACAATCTTTCTGTTATTCTTCACACACAAAAAATAAAATAGACAGTGTAAACTATGAGTATACCTGTTTTGAGAAAACTTGACAAAGTACATCACTATTGTGAGTATTTATTTCCCAAAGTCTCCTGGTTTGGACATCTAATAGTAATCCACATTTCTCACTCCCAACACTAAATTGGTTTGCATGTTTGTTCCAGGCACAAGTCCATGTTGCTTTTTGGCCAAGGGAATATACTTCATATCTACTGGAGCCCTCACCAAACCCTTTGATAAAGACTAAACTTTCTGGGGTACCAGTATAAACCATTCCTGTATATAACACACTGTCTTTGTCAATGAGACTCATACTTGAGATTTTGACAGCTGACTGGTAGTAACGACAACTAGGAAATGGATCTATTGATAAGGACAATCTGTCCTTTTGCCTAGAACTGGGTTTATCTGATAATTTTAACCACAGAATTCTCTGGATCATGGAGTCTTTTAGTGAAAATAATCCAATGATATGTTTATTATCAATCATTTCAAGCTGTGTGGCATTCTCAAGTCTTTCAAGCCAATCTCTTCTTATATCTGAATAGATCTGAATTCTAGTTTGTGGGGTTGTATTCAAATTCTTTAACCTAATTTTATGTATAGTGTGATCCAACTGCCTCCTTGATAAAAGACCTTGCTGAAAATTACAGGTCACACAAGGAAGACAATTATCATAGACAGAGAGCTGATGTCTTCTTGGAGTTTCTGTCCTAGGTTTTACCAGATTCAGCAAATCAGATTTTCTTGCTTCTTCTTTTTCTTTCATTTTAATGGCCTCCTTGGTAACTGCTTTGCCAATGCAACTATTGTTTGGCAAAATTTTAAAATATTTCTTCTTTTCTTTATCATAATAAAATCCAGGAAGCTGTAGATATTGTTAAGGCATAAAAACATGAATGTAGGATTTTTCTTCTCAAATGGTATTAAGTTGTTGTATTCAAATATTTATCTGTTAGACTTTTAACTTGAAGCCTTGCTTAAAAAATAACTGCTACTTTCAGATGAGACTAAAAGTTAGGTTATTTTTTTCATGAATAATATTTTAGAAAAATATTTCTGCAATGCTTCATTGTTTTCATGAAATGTAAACAAAATGGTGCATTACATGTACATTATTTTGCCAAATTTCATTCAGAAAAGCTAGTAATGAAGTACATACAATTTCCAATAGAGGTCCAATGCTAAGGAATCAGAATGAATGCATTTGTTCACTAGACATGCTATACATTCAGAATCAAATAAGAATTTTTTTTAAGCACACCACATCAATACTATCAATTTCAAAAATATTTGGATTCAAATCATTTAATGTAACTGTAATACAAAAGAAATGAGAACATATCTAGATCCATCAAAATAAATAATATGACCAAAATGAAATGTTTTTCTTTTTTTTAATGTTATTGCATCTCTGTACAGATGTTATATATAAATGCATTGGCTGTTTGAAAATAAAAAATAGAGCCTTTTGATCATTATTCCTATTATATTAGATCAAATTTGGCTTTGCAGTACATATACAAGATGAGAAGTACACACATGATTTGAAAACTTACCAATCAAAATCTGGAATATGATTTTTTCAAAATAGGAAAAATAAGGAACTTTATATTAAGGACATTGGGATCAAACAGGCAAAGTAGTTATTACAGAAAAACTTAAAATTTGACGATAGAAAAACTGATCAATGAGCTCTTTGTTTAAAAATTGCACAGAAATGCACTTAGAATCTATACAATGCTTATTACTTTGAAAAGGATATCAGGTATGACTTGTTTTTCTCTACTTTCATCTCCTGGAAGTTTTGTGGAACAGCTTCTGTGGTTATTCTGATGTTTGTTTTGTGATGAACCTCGAGGAGTAATGAGAGAATTTTCAGAAAAATAAGTGGAACCCTCACAACTTGAACTACAGGATGCCATATTATTTGTATTTTGCTTATGTTTTGTTTTCCATCTTGATGATTGTTTTGTTTTCCTGAATTCTGCTTTTCCAGTCTTACTTTTCTGTACAAAAGTTTGACATTCTTTACATTTCTTGTCAGTTTTGTGTATCTGGTTTTCTTTCCTACTAATTCTTGAAAAAGAAGCAGCTTCAGTCTTCACTTTAGAATTACAACATGAACTTCTTGACTCAGTTTTCAACTTTTTCTTTGAACGGGGTGCAGCTTCAGCTTTTAAATCATTAAATGACTTTTTAATTCCAGTCTCAGACGTTTTCTTTTTCTTTTGTGTTTTTTGTTTTTTCTCAGACAATTTTGAATGATCTAGGGAAAGATTCTCATGCTTCTTTTCAATCTGTCCTTTTAAGGTTTTACCACAACTTTGAATTTTTTTGCTTTTCTTTACTGTTCCTTTGTTATGTTTCTCATCGTTGGATATGGAATCCTCCAAATGTTTAGATTTCTTTCCTCGTTTCTTTTTGTACAATTCTGTAAATCTTGATGACATAATCTGTTTTACTTTAACTGATGCATATTTTTAGTCTCCATACTACACCTACAAAATATTAGAATTCTTAATTTTAATTTTATAAACATCAATTTCTTTGTAAAGAAAAAAAAAATTTTGACATGAGAGTTCCAAGTACGTTACATTGTTTTGTGGATAACCGACCATGCAAGTGCTTCATAGCCAGTCAAGGTTGTTAAACACCCCTGTAGTTGTAATGAGGAAAAGGGGTTAAATATGGAATCTAATAGATAGTGTCCATTACATTTTGTTTGAAGCCATTTCAATCACATATAACTCAAAAGGTGGTATATGGCAGTTAAATCTTAAGAATTTTAGGTAGACTTTATGACATGCTATAAAATGATATGGAGTACCAAAATTGTTTTGTTAAGTGATACATATCTGTATATACCTACATTTCATTCCTACAAACTTCTATGTAGTATGAATGAATGAAAAAATCAAAGCATCATGGATGTTGTGATTCAGCCAATTTTGCAGCTAGTCTAGACATTTTTTCTGACCATACTTTATTTTGTTATCTTTATTTCCATAATCTCACTGTAAAATTTCTATTTTAATGCCAAAAGATGGAGAAGTTTGCAATATTGATGCAAATATTTGGTATTTCAATTGAAAACACTGTCATATTTTTTTGCATCTTCTTTTAGAAACATTTGAAATTCATTGATTTTGACAAGAATGTTAAGGGAAATCTTCAAATGTATAGCATATTTTTTATATGCCATTAATAATTGGCTTAATAATTTCCAGAAAGAGCATTAAAATGCACTTTCTCAACAACACCAAAAATAAATAACTAATTTTTATCTAAATTGGTGTTCATTCTTCATTAACTCATTCGCCCCCAAGAGATTTCTGGAAAATCAGGCATTTTCGAAAATTTGCAATCATATGCAAATTATATGCAAATTAGCAGACTCTTGATGCTGTAACTGATGCTCATCTATTAAACTATGTATTGAGATTTGGGGGCGGATGGCATGGGTGGGGGGTGGGGTGGGAGGTAGAATATTTTCCCGTGGGTTTGAACCCACCCCCACTGAAAAATGTAAATTTTCCGTCTATTTTCCGATTTTTAAACGACCTTGAGAGGTGAACATTGACCAGACTGTTTTCCTTTGTCATTCAAGTATTACCCTATAGTTACAGCAGTCCATTCATGCTAACTGGGAGTATATTGGACTTAAGTGTCTTGCTGGGGAATTATTATTGTCAAGTCAGGTGTGCCTAAATGTCCGTTTTTACGGATTTTTGACAAAACGGTGACCTAGATTTTACAGACTAGATTCCTATTGGCCATATTATACCTCGTTGTGTTCCTTTACCACCTATGCATGCATTTATGATAATAGTTTATACCTACAGTCACTACCAGTTACGTAGTGGCCATCAAAAGATGCCCACCCCCACCTGATTTTGGCTACTTTTCACGTTTTTCCGACTTTGAACTCTTAAACGGCTTTCAAAGTGCCATATTTTCATGAACAGACATCTGAGAAGAGTTTATGGACCATGAACTGCTTGGTTGAAGTCCCTGCTATCATGACAGTTCAGCTGGGGCAGTTCAAAAAAGGTATGCAATTGTGTTTATTGCTTCAACCAAATTACTGATAATTGTAACTTAAATAGACCTTAATTATTAACTTATTTCAGATGATTATGACACTGATTTTACAACTACTGAGGCCAAAATTTTGTGTATTCAGTTAGATGTGTAATAAATTGAATACACAGATTATCAACTGTCATGATATATTAATATAACAATTAATAAAATAGAGAATGGAAATTGGGAATGTGTTAAAGAGACAACAACCCGACCTAAGAGTAAATAAACTGCTTCGCAGAGCGCAGCTGGATACGACTGCGGAGGTCCAACCCAAACAGTTGGGGCAAAAATGGACACAATATTCAAGCTTGATACAGGTCTGAATTTGGATTGTAATTAAATATTTGACACATTACAGGTTTCTGACACAGAATAAATGTTTGAAATTGGTTGTATGACTTGAATTTATTTTCAATTGAAGATTTCTTGCTGTTGTGAAATACAAAGTGCTGTTGCGCAATACTTAGGAAATCTGTTTTCAGACTATATACAGAGAATTAGCAAAATAAATTGTGACCCCCAATTTTTTTCTTTGGAAAATTAACAATTTCTTAAATCTTCAGGAAAAAAATTGACCCCCCCCCCAAAAATTTTTTTTTTTCTTTTTAGGAAAAAAATTGCCCCCCCAAACAAATTTTTTTTACCCCCCCCCCCCCCCTTTTCCAAAAATTAATTTTAAAGAAATTTTTTTTTTTGTAAAATGTGGTACAAATGAAGAGACATCCATATACTTAAACACAAGTTATTGTCTGAAAACTAGAAAAATGCTTGTTTTAGACCCTTTTTGGCCCCCTAATTCCTGAATGGTTTGGGCAATTACCCCCAAAATGAATCCCAACCTTCTACTTGCGGTATTGAACAGTATGGTACAATTTCAGAGCAATCAAAATACTTATACACAAGTTATTGTCCTGAAACTAGAAAAATGCTTTTGGCCCCTTTTTGGTCCCTAATTCCTAAACGGTTGGGACCATCACCCCCAAAAACAGTCCCAACCTTCCTCTTGTGGTATTAAACCTTTTGATTAAATTTCATAGAGATCCATACACTTAAACTAAAGTTATTGTCCCGAAACCAAATGTCTTCCGACAACGCCGACGACGACGTGATACCAATATATGACCGCAAAAAATTTTTGCATTTGTATAAAAACAGCAGAAGGCCACCAATGGGTCTTCAACACAGCGAGAAAATTCCACACCCGGAGGCGGACTTCAGCTGGCCCCTAAACAAAACTTGTGTACTAGTTCAGTGAAAAGACGTCATACTAAACTCCTAAACATATAAATGAACCAAAATCAAAAAAACATACAAGACTAACAAATAAGACTGCATTTGAGTGGAGTTTAATCCAATTAATACTTACACCTTTGAGTGTAATTGTTTGAAAATCGTGGCAGCTGTCCATCATACTGTTGTTGTATCAATAATCTCATTAGCCTAATGCAAGAATGGGAACAATAGCATTTCAAAAATCTGTGGGAATCAACTCTGATATCAATACACATCTTGAACCAAATGCTTACAGGAACATAAGATACTGATAAAACACTTGCATTATTCTTATCAACTGCTAAAATTTGATAAATCACATTTTCCACATTTATATATAAATGGCAATTTAATATAGATTTTAACCTTTTCTTAATTTAGAGACAAATAACATATTAAAAGTTGGCAGTTGATGTGGTTAAAATGGTGTATAAAGTTTCTGCAAGTCATAGAAACACATAATTATTTTCATGACATGTCTTTATCTTAGAATTTTGCACCATCTACAAATCTGGAGTGATCACATAGATCCAGCAATGCTGAATCAAAAATGATATGCACTAGAGAAATACCCCCACCCCTGTGTGACTGACAACTGTGGAAAACAAGGTGTGAGTATTCTGCAATATGCCAAAGGTATTTACAGTCCCATAGCTCTCTTAAAATGGTCAAATCAAAATGACAGTATAGTAATAATAATAGTATGGCCAACTACTCATGATGGAAAACAATCCTACCAAGTGTGAAATCTTTCTGGCAAAAAATCTCAAATGGGATTGCATTCATACATGGGCAGAACATTTACTCTGTATATGATGTAGGATGTTTTAGGGTTCAATTCATTTGTACTACAATGTATGTACTCAAAGTACAATGTTCAAGGGTCGGTCTTTTCACCACCGAACACCACCACACACTGCCAAACACCCAAAAAGACCACTTACCCTTAAGAAAAACAGTAATGTTACACAATAAAACAATAAAATCGATTAAATTACGTAAAATTTCATCCTATTGTCATGTTTTTCACATTTGTATGTGCATTAGTGATGTTAAAGTTGAGAATCAATATTAAAAAAAAGGCTTCCAGATCCAGCAATATTTTTTCCGGATTTACATTGTCTGCATTTCATTGTATATTATCTTATGGTCTTTACTTTTCAATTATTAGAAATAAATTGTTCAAATAAGTTAAAACATTTTATTTAATGTTAAATTATCACAATAATTATATTTAAAAAAATGTTAGACTTGAAAGTGTACTGTTCTGACAACAGCCCTGCAAGACTGTTCTTTTTGGTTCTCGTTATCATTTCATATTTATTTGTGTATATATACATGTATGTATAAACATATTCATCCTCGTTCAGAAGGTAAGTCAAATATATAAATAAAGATGAAAACAATATATTTAGGTGTGTTAGATGGTATTTTAATGTGTTCGGTGGTGTGCGCTGGTGTTCAGCGGTGAAAAGACCTAACGTGTTCACAAGGCACTATACAGTTCTTCTGTCTACGCTGATTCTGTCTTGGACGTTTGTTTTACTTTGTTCCTTTATTGTCCTTATAATACCCAAATGTGTATTTGGGTAGCAGCTGGCATGGTTTTATCATTCACTTTGAACTGACCCTCGGTTTTAGCAGTTTTTAAATTACCTTATTTGTATTTATTGTAAAATGTAACACTTTTGGTTGGATGTATAATTTTTATAAATTATATGTATGTTTACCCGAATATCTTTTTGATTTGTCAAGCATAGCTTGCATATCTTCCTCGGTTGGTGATAATAATAGATGTTAACAGACTTGAGAGCTTTTCGATAATTCAAATTAAGGACTATTACCTTGACATTCTATTTCATGACAATATTGCTCATTCCGTATTTTTTCCTTGAAATGTAGAGTTATTTACCTTTAATGGTTGATAAACATTGCAAATTCTCTTTCAATATTTTTATGTAAAGAATTTTAAAAACATTTTGTGAGTCAATATTAACAAGTATTAGTTTTCATTCATTTTAAATTGAATCAAAATTTCTAGCTTTATAGTTCAATTGTGAAATGTATTTACACAGAAAATCATGAATAACTTTTGACTACTTCGTTTAAAATTTTGTAATTTGTAAGAATCGTGTACACAAACACGACAAAGCGCACGTGGAAATGCAATCCATTTCAGTTGATAGTCCAGACGATGGATCGAACGATTTTGACAGTGACATTGGTGTGTATTACACAGTTATTTTTTCCTTGTTTTTTTTTTAATCATTAAAGAGGTCACCAAATGTACATTTATGGTCAGATCATATGTTTTCGTACGTCATATGAATTCGTACTATAGTCTATACATGCTTTTTGAATAGAAATTGTGACGTCACAACGCATTCTTTATAGCACGAAAACCCATGAGACGAGGATACGTGCCTGATTTTCATTTCCCCTTTAAATCAAAAATTGATCTTTTAAATTATCCACCTGTCATTACTCTTCATATACATGTACTTTAATATGGTATCGGGTCCGTTCGCGCCCAATACCCGTTCGCACCTTACACGTTCGCACCCCACACATTCGCCCTATAGGTCCGTTCGCACCCTACACGTTCGCACCCTTTTTTTATTAAAAAACCTGATAAATTTTTAGATGTTTTGTAGGTATTTATATCAAAATATTTTTATTTTCATAAATAAAAATTCGGGAATTTTTAAATGAAATATTGTTTTAAATTGATTTGATGATTACTTATTAAATGTTAATTATGTATGATTACTGCTAATTGGTATTTATTCACAGCCTAATATGATATTATTGTTAAGTGTTTAAAAATCATGATTGTTGTCATGGTTGTTTTAACTTGCTTTAAATGTAAATACTGCATGTATTTAGCTTGGTATGAGTAAAACTTTGAAGATTTTAAATAAAAGACATGAAAGATAATTGTTTTTAACAGCTTGGCTCCTTTGATCTCATGTGTGTCAGAATCTCACTTTATTTAGAAACAATGAAAAAAAATAATTTATATATATATAGATATATATATAGAGCAATACACTTACCTAAACATGATTAAAAATTATTCAACACAAAAATAAAATACTGGTCGTCAGAATCTCACTTTATTTAAAAACAATGAAAAAAAAATGTTTATAGCAATACATTTACTATGACACAAAAAAACCTTGTCAGAATCTCACTTTATTTAGAAACAATGAAAAAATATATTTACAGCAATACACTTACCAAAACTCGTTTACAAATTATTAAACACAAAACCAATAAAAATTGGGCGCAAACGTGTAGGGTGCGAACGGACTTTGGGTGCGAACATGTAGGGTGCGAAAGTGAAAGGGGGGCGAATGTGCATTGGGGGCGAACTTGATTGGGCGCGAATGGACCCGGATTCCTTTAATATAGCACAAATATGAACAGTTGGGACTAAAATAACTTTATATATGTCACACCTACAATTAAGATTCAAGAATGTATACCACTGTAACATTAACCCTCTTGCTGCCGGAGGGACACATGTGTCCACACCGACTGTGCTGGAGGGACACGTATGTCCATGTTTTAATTTATGCAAACTTCTCCTCATTGCTGTATCTTTTTCAAATAAAAGACCAAAGATTAAACAGTGTTATATTTTTCTTCAATAGGTCCGAAATGTAACGGTCATGTTGGCGTTACGTCATTGTTGGACATCTGACGTCACAGACGTTGAGCTGTGTCATATTTTCTTGCACACAAAATGCAACCTTGAAAAACAACTGGCAGCAAGAGGATTAAACATTAAAATTTGAACAAAGCTGACTAGTCCAAATAAATAATTTATGACGTCATGGAAGGCTATTTTAATTTTTTTCTGTGTCGTCACAGAAAAAAATTAAAATAGCCTCTCAAGACATCATAATTATTTAGACTAAGCTGACTCATGCCATTCCACAGTTCCATCCTTACAAATGTTACGTTCTCAAATCACAACTGTGAATAAAACGATACATCAGGCGTGATTCAGAGAGGGTGCATCCCCCGATAAAATGAAAAATATGTAATTTATTGGTAAAACAACACCCATTTTTATGTCAAAATATGGTCCTTCAACTATTAATTCCCAGCCCCCACTTAACATCAAATCCAGAACATTTTAGTATATAAATAAACTGAATTTTTAGGAAATTCACCTTTCTGGAAAATATCTTTTAATTTTTAAACCAATTCTTTATCTATCTGAAGAATACTGTGCCTTTGGGTGAAGACGATTTCATATATTCAAAGGTCAAGTTCACAGCAGCAATTAACAGACTGAAATTTTGGCAATTTTTTTTTTTTTATTTCATGTAATTTTTTTTTAGCCACACTTCAAATATTATTGAAATTAGTTTAATAATGTTCCTGGAAAGAGAAAAAGATGTGGAAATATTTTGTTTTTTCTGGCCAATATGTATTCTTATAATATCTTAAAGTGGCATGTTGCAAGCCCCAATGTCAGCAATTACCGTCATTTGACACAATTGTTAGCAGCTTTTACAATTTCTAGCTACAACCCCTACGTCATGCCTATAGTGCTTCTGTAATTTTGATATACATACATGTAAGGGTTGTAAATTTTTTGTGAAAGTTCATCTTTATGATGTTTGAATGTACATTGTAGTACAATATCATATTTTCATCTCATTTACACCCCCCCCCCCCCCCAACTCCCCCCCGAAAAAAAAACAAAACAAAACATAACAATCTTTCATCAGTTAATTGGAAGAGTTGTAACAAGGAATTATTTGGATCTGGAATAATTTTGAATTCTGGAAAATTGATGAGTAATTTATGATGAAAACTAACCCAACTAAATAGGGTTAGCCATGCGCACATGGCTAAGGGGGGTTAGTTAGTTTATACTGAAATGATAGTGAAATTGAAATTAACCTTAGCCATGCGCGCATGGCTAACCCTATTTAGTTGGGTTAGTTTTCATTATACATTTCTAATCAATTTTCCAGAATTCATAATTATTCCAGATTCAAATAATTCCTTGTTTTGTTATCATGGTTAAGGTATCAGTGTCATATTGAAAAGTATAGTAATAAAAGAGAATAGCTGAAATGATGGAACTTATAATAATTCGACAAATCAAATGAATACCCAGTACATTATAATAAAGTACACCATTAATATACTGGTTATGTATACATGGTGTACCTGTCTTGAGAAGTTTTGTAGTGACATCTTGATGTTCTTAATGATTACATTGTCAGTTATGGTACTGATTATTTTAATATCAGAATCATTGTAAGCAAATGACTTCTTTACAGATGGCGATGATGAGGCAAATAAGACTGATTCTAAGACAGGATTAACTGATGGAGGTGATGAGGAAAATGCAACTGAATCCAAGACTGGTTTGGCTGATGCAATGGCCAAAATTTTGTCAAAATCTGTACCTCAGCATAAACAGGTGATTTTAGCAAAAGGAACAACAGATAGGAAGTTAGAGAAGAAAAGGAAAAAGAAAGAAGAGGAGGATGAAGAAAAGCATGAAGATAAAACATCATTAGAGAAGGTACATTTGTACTTATGTTATACAATTTTTGTAGTGTGGGAAACTGTCTGAAGCAAAAATAAATTTTACAAGCAATAATAGATCTACAAATTATAAATACTGAAACCTTCAAATGACTCTTATTGCCTTTAAATGACAATTTCTAACAACATTTAGTATTAAAGACTCTTATCTAAGAAACTTTACTAGGTAGACAGAAACTAAAATCAGGAGAATTGATTTTTTGAGTTAATGCCCTTAGGATGAATTTTATGAACTTTCAATTTATTTTCTTACATTATCTTGAGAATAGTAACAGTAAGAGATACTGATGACAGTAAAATTGATAAACAAATAATATTGTGATGACAGCTAAGTGGGTGGCCACTTGGTTTATTAAGGAAAGGGGGGGGATAAGAAGGATTTGTGAAAAAAAAATTCTTATTTCAAATTAGGAGATGAGGTATTGTTGCCAACGAGATAACAATCCATTTGATTTTTATGTACATAAGTAATTTGATCAAAGGTACTGAACTAAGGAAAGATGTATTGGCCTTGTTTTAACTTTAATGAATTCTTCAAGCTAACTTTTCAAAAATTAGTTATTTGGTTTTTGAAATAGAAATTTTGTTTATGAGAAAGGCAAAATAAATATCAAAGTGGAATATTTACTTTGAGAAATATCTAACCAGCGGGAAATCTAGTGACAAAATATTACCTCCCATGTAAATATTGAAAACTAGATCTTCTCAATGTTTGTCCCATTGTAGCAAGGACGCTATCAATTATGGGTTCACGGGAAAACGTTCTGGTAAATAGTAAAAAGAGAAATAAGTTGAAATAAAATCAAAATTTCCATTCAATGTTATTTCCCTCCTTAAGCAACAAACCATGAGTACAGCAGGCTATAGAAGCTTGGTGTAAAATTGGTTTAAAATGTTGCTATGCGAATAAATTCCTGGAGTACCAACTTCAATTTATTTTTCTTCTGGCTGTATACCTTACTGGAACATGCTAATTATCCGAATATATATACAGCTAGGTCAGAGAAAGTCATGGAAAAAATTCCAAAGGAATGGATTGATATGCAGCAAAGATTGGCACTTTTGAAATTAAGTTACTAAGCAAATTCAAACGGACCTTATCTTGATGTAAACATTGAATGGGAATAGATCCGGAAGACTGCAAATAAATGTACAAAATTTCTTTTACTTCAAACTGCGACACATATCAGGGTAAAATCATGATTATTTTTTGCCAAGGGGACTTCAAAATACACTCCAGTTAACCAGATTTTCGAATGTACCGATTTCAACTCATTAGATTTAGAAATGACTTGAACAGACAGGATTTCTGACAGGACTGACAAAATACCTCGACTTATCCAGGTTTGCAACACAACAAGGTTTGACTGTATATCAAATATCTAAACATACTATTGAGGTCAAGAAATGACATTAAACAGGAGTGCTCATCATCATCATTTCAATTAAAACTACACTCAAAGAAACTACATGTACATTGAGTGTAATTGTTTTTTGATCATGACAGTTGTCAATCATAATGGTATTGTCTTGTGTTTGGCCGCGGCTGGTGTTAGAAAATGTTTATTTCACAAGTTATAATAAATTTATGATAAATTTTAATTGCACAATAGTTCATTTAATATAAAAATCGGGAATGGTGTCAGGTACTGGTTGTATATTTCTTTCAGAATATTTAGGGACCACATATGTATTGTTTCACATTTGAATAAACCTATTTGGTTTACAGGGAATCAATTCCTTTGTGATATTTAATTTGCTACTTTGTAGAGAGAAATAATCCTATCTTCTTTTTCCTTTTGGGCTTGTTCTTGATTAAGGTGGTTGATCCTAATTCCGTTATTAAAGCTGGTTGAAAATCCAATAATGTAGCACTGGAGGAGGGTTCCTGTGGGTGCCTCAACAAAGTCTTTTTTCGTTCATGTATGCGATGGCTAATAGGTTAGCGCTGCTTGCAACAGCAGTTCCTTTATGGATGCAGGGGTTCAAGATAACAATTAAAAAAATTACAACGACAGTGAACCAACGCCTGGTAAATCTTTAATACGCTATAATCCCTATAGTGGATACCTCAGATATCCAGGGTTGTAACGATAAAAAACACAAAGTGTGAAAGCAGTTATAACAACAACACTTTAGGGACTGCTGCAGTAATTTAATGAGATCAAGTTTCAGTGCCTAGGGCACCCTCATCAGGATAAAATCAATACAGATAATCGCCCTGAAGTACAAAATCAGGAAAAAAAAAGTATTGTTAAAACTGCTTTCACATTTTGTGTTTTTTATCGTAACAACCCTGCATACATGAGTATCCACTTTTCTATTGATTGAAGATTTACCAGGCGTTGGTTCATTATCGTTGTAATTTTTTTTAAATGATTGTTCAAAGATTGCAATTGAAATTTTAAATTTGTAGAAAAGGCTATGGGAAGCAATGGCAAAGGTAAAACCTGATCCACTGGAGAGAGATAAGGAAAGAGCTTTACAAAGAATAGCACAAAGGTCTGTATTGATGCAATATACTGGTAATTACATGACATAGATGTTTATGAATTGTGAATGCATTGGCCATGAACACATTTTTGGCATGGGATGCAGAAAGTTACATGCTTCATACACAAATGTGTTTAGTCAATTTATACCCATTAAAACTATAAAATGAAACATTCAGTTCTTTAATAATAGAGATATTCCGACAACAGGGTTTTTCTTGGCCAAGTACACAATTTTTAAAAGAACAGCTGTCATACAAACTATATGCATTATGTCTGTATCTTATATGTTTTCAACCATAAAAGATATATGCATACAAGCATGATATGTGAAGATGTCTTGCATTATAAGTGAATGAAGCATTCATACCCACATAAAAAAGAATGTAGAACAGTTAAACCTTTACTCCATATCCAGATAAAAGTAGAACATAGAATAGTTTAACCTTTACTCCATATCCAGTAGAAGGTAGAATAGTTTAACCTTTACTCCATATCCAGATAAAAGTGGAATGTAGAATAGTTTAACCTTTACTCCTTATCCAGATAAAAGTAGAAAGTAGAATAGTTTAATCTTTACTCCATATCAAGATCAAAAGTAGAAGGGAGAATAGTTTAACCTTTACTCCATATCCAGATCAAAAATAGAAGGTAGAATAGTTTAACCTTTACTCCATGTCCAGATAAAAGTAGAAAGTAGAATAGTTTAACCTTTACTCCATATCCAGATAAAAGTAGAATGTAGAATAGTTTAACCTTTACTCCATGTCCAGATAAAAGTAGAAAGTAGAATAGTTTAACCTTTACTCCATATCTAGATAAAAGTAGAAAGTAGAATAGTTTAACATTTACTCCATATCCAGATCAAAAATAGAAGGTAGAATAGTTTAACCTTTACTCCATATCCAGATAAAAGTAGAAAGTAGAATAGTTTAACCTTTACTCCATATCCAGATCAAAAATAGAAGGTAGAACAGTTTAACCTTTACTCCATATCCAGATAAAAGTAGAATGTAGAATAGTGTAACCTTTACTCCATATCCAGATAAAAGTAGAAAGTAGAATAGTTTAACCTTTACTCCATATCCAGATCAAAAATAGAAGGTAGAATTACTCCATATCCAGATAAAAGTAGAAAGTAGAATAGTTTAACCTTTACTCCATATCCAGATCAAAAAAAGAAGGTAGAATAGTTTAACCTTTACTCCATATCCAGATAAAAGTAGAAAGTAGAATAGTTTAACCTTTACTCCATATCCAGATCAAAAATAGAAGGTAGAATAGTTTAACCTTTACTCCAAATCCAGATCAAAGTAGAAAGTAGAATAGTTTAACCTTTACTCCATATCCAGATCAAAAATAGAAGGTAGAACAGTTTAACCTTTACTCCATATCCAGATAAAAGTAGAATGTAGAATAGTGTAACCTTTACTCCATATCCAGATAAAAGTAGAAAGTAGAATAGTTTAACCTTTACTCCAAATCCAGATAAAAGTAGAATGTAGAATAGTTTAACCTTTACTCCATATCCAGATAAAAGTAGAATGTAGAATAGTTTAACCTTTACTCCATATCAAGATAAAAGTCAAAAGTAGAATAGTTTAACCTTTACTCCATGTCCAGATAAAAGTAGAAAGTAGAATAGTTTAACCTTTATTCCATATCCAGATAAAAGTAGAATGTAGTATAGTTTAACCTTTACTCCATATCCAGATAAAAGTAGAATGTAGAATAGTTTAACCTTTACTCCAAATCCAGATCAAAGTAAAATGTAGAATAGTTTAACCTTTACTACACATCCACATAGAACAAGAAAGTAGAATAGTTTAACCTTTACTACATATCCAGATAAAAGTAGAATGTACAATAGAGTAAAATTTACTCCATATCCACATAGATCAAGAATATTGAATACATAAACCTTGACTCTAGATGCACATCAAACAAGAATATAATTCATTTATTGTATACTTTCTTATTTTTGCTCGTTATTAAATGATCAATATTATTAACCCATATTTCAGGGGAGTTGTCCAATTATTTAATGCAGTTAGGAAACAACAGAAAATATTGAAAGAACAATTAGATGATGCAGGACCAACTGAAGCAAAAAAATCAAAGGCTTTAGGCAAAATGACAAAAGGGAAATTCTTAGATTTACTGAAAGGACAAACTGTATCAAATATATCTAACAAAGCATCGAATATGAAAACAGAAATTAAACAGGTAAAAACATTGTCCAGAAATTGTAAGGACTTTATAATATTCACATTATTGAAAATTTAGGAAAAAAACATTGTATTGAGTAATACTAGCCATCTTATGACAAAATAGAACTTTACAGCTAATGATTTAATTAAATTGTTACCCATTTGTCAATTTATCTTCTTGTTATTATTGGTTTTCAGTACTTTATCTCAATACTCAATCTTTACCTAACATGTTTTGAAAGTAATTCTGTTGGAAAAGCTGACTCTTATTCATTTTGTTTGGCCAACAAAAACAAAAAAAGATGGTTTGTCGGAATTCTGTTTCAATATCAAAAGTCCTTCATGTATCTTAATAAATCTTAATCGGTACTTTCTGCAATTTTATAGTTTAGATAAGATTGACTTAAAGTAAGCTTTAATCTTTTGAAAGCCCAGTACTACAGCATTGTCTTTTGATATTTAATCATGTGAATTTATTAATAAAATGTATTAAGAGGGTCAACAGTTTCTAAGAATGGACATAAAATTGGACACAAAAATAGATTCATGGGTTATCTTTTTCATGAGAATTACATGATGACTATTACTAATGAAAAAAGGATATATGGGGATATATGCCAATGAGACAGCAACCCACAATAGAAACAAAAGCCAGAATTTGTCTGCTAAATGTCTAGGGAAAATTTTTGTTAACTTGTGATATGTTGACATATATTTTACATCTTTTTGGAGCTGAAAATAAACATTTAAACAAATCAGGTAATAATATTTTACACTAATGCCATGCCAAATCATTACCTCCTTTGTCAGATTCCCTGTGTGTTGAAAATTTTGGCAAGAAAAAAAGTTTTTTTACTTAAAACCTGTGTCTTATGTGTTGTGTCTTTTTCCACAGTAGAAGTTTGAATAACTAGAAATTAATTTGCAGTGGCATAATTGATATATGCAAACATAAACCTTGACATTTCACTGCAGTGCATTAGATTCTGTTTGTTTAAACGTGTCTTTATTTTAGGACTGGAGTTTTGTGAAAGCTTTGTAAAACTTGTCAGATCCTGTCAGTTTATTCACATAAAGTTATTTAATATAATTATGATTAATACATTTATTGAAGTAGCAAATATGTCTAAATTAATAGGACTACCTATCAACAGGATTTGTGGATATTCTATATATAAAAATATTTGTATTAAAACTAGAAACATTGACTAAATGCTTATGTTATATGTTGTTTTCTTTAATTGAAGGAAAATGTATCTGATGAAGAAGACAGCAAAAATAAGAAATGGGACATTTTACGAGATGATTACATGATGGGGGCTAAAATGAAAGACTGGGATAAAGAAAGTGATAGTGAAAACCCTCAATCAGACAATGATATAGACAGTGGTAGTGAAAGTGGATGACAAATATCATGTTATAGATCTATGTTATAATAAATTGAATTTGTTTTACAAAAAGATTTTGATGATTGCAAGCTAAAACATATAAAAAAGTTACTCTTTCCTACATATAATATAAACAAAGAAACACAAAACAGATGGCCTATGTAAAAAAAAAAGACAGAGAGGGAGAGAAATTTGACGAAAATATGTAATAATGAGTTTTACCATGTACCAGTAAGCCTTTTTCAAATATGAGTCATTGACAGGCATTCACAACCTTTTATTTGTTTGAATTTTTATTATGTCCACTGAGCATTATGTTTTCTATTGCTTATTACTAAGCTTTTATTTTAAGGAAATATTCAATAGTTGTTCTTGAACTTTAAGCTGTGAAAGTAATTTTCAGATCATTGGGTAGTACGGTAACTTTTGTCTGACCATACTTTGTATTTTCATTATAGGCACTGAGCATAGCATCTTTTTGTAATATATCTGATCTGGATCTTTAAAGTGATCAGATGTACCATGTCAGATTGAACAGTTTCTTCCTATTTGATAATCCTTTAAATTTTGGTCAATGTCTATAAAGGAGTGGTATATACTTTGTAAGTCAACACATGCAACTTCATGTTTTGTCTTCATTGAACTGATGTTTTTTTATAATGTCTATTCTTCAAACCTGTTTATTATATGGCATTGATATGGTTTTGCTACCAGTGTGGTACTCAGTCAACATTATGACCATTTGAGTGTCAGAAATGAAGAGAGAAATAGCTTTATTTATGTAAATTGTTATCATTACAAGTTCTTGGTCCTTCATATCAAATTTTAATAAAAAAGATTATTCTACAAGATTGTGTCTAGATTTTGACATAATATGGTTGAGATTCGAGCTTATGTCTTCTTGAAGCCTCAAACTGATTATTAGATATGATTTCATGAAGCCTAAAATTGCTGTTGTGTAAACCCTGAAATATGTTTTCAAATGGTAGAATATTCAGATGTTTGTTTCAGGTGGTCATGTTTTGCTCATCTGCTGCAAGATGAACAAATTACAATCACTTTGATTCAGTTGTTTGTTGTATTCAGTGTAAACTTTTTCAATTATTTTCTACTTCAAAATAACAGAGTAATTTTAAACTTAAAGGTGTATTAGCTACGATTTACCAAAAAAAATTAAATATGAATTTTTGTTTCCAACATTTTTCAAAGCAGAATTTTGAAATACTGTAAATTCAGAAATTATTGCAAGGTTTTTTTAATAATGTGGATAATGTGACTGCTTGAGTATCGCATTAATAAGAACTCTCATTCTGATATCTGGTACATATATCTGTATGTAGCTTTTCCTAAAATAGAAATGATTAAACTCACATTTTTGTTCATTCTTCAAAAATCGCAATAATAAATGCAGGCAATAATTTCTGAATTTACAGTAATATTTTGGTATTAGCAGTCAGTTTGGTTCAATTTTGTCAAAATTAGCTCAAAAACATTGCTGATGTATTATTGGCTTGCAAGTCAATATTTAAACCTCATTTACATCTGTATTCAGGCAGCCTTTATTTTGACCCTTAGCTGGAGATGGGTTATGCATGTGCTTATGATGCTCAGTTATTAAAACGAAAAGAATGTCAACACTGAAAAGTGAATAAGAATGAACAGACCTTTGACTGATATGGTCTACAAAAAATCATTCTTGTACAGATTAAACGATGATTCACATATTTTTACATGAAATCAGACAGACCTAGAAAATTCATTATTATATCATTGCATGTGCTTCTTTTGTCTATTTATACTTATTTTTAGATTGGGGCATTATGACCATTGACAGTCTTTGTTTGATTGTCGAGTTTATGAGCTTTGGTCCTTGCTTGGAAATTATACTGTTACCATCAATAGATTCTTTAGAGGAGTTATTACCCTTACCAGCAATTTTGGACTTATTTTAGGTTTTGCCTACTAATTTGGATTAATTATAGACCAATAGAAACTGTAAACAACAAAACTGAACAACAATACAAAATCTACAAAACCAAAATGTCAATATGTTGAGACTCTGTATAGGAGTAATTGTTTACCATTTCAGCACTTTAATAGTTTGGTTCTCTGTTAAAGGCAAAAAATATTATTTATTGTAGTTCTGACAAGTTGTATGCATAATAGAACTCAGTAATCTCAAATTTACTTATTATTCCCGCGCCGTAGCAGAGGGGGCATTAAGTTTTACCCTTGTCCGTCTGTACGTCCATCCGTACGTCCGTATGTCCCGAAATTGGATTCCGTTCTGCCTCAACCAAATGTTATGAAGCTTATACACAATCCTAATTACCACAAAACACAGATCAAGTTTGAATTTAGGTGACGTCACTTTTACCTTTCTAGAGTTATGCCCCTTTACAAATGGAACCGTTCTCTAACTTAAGTTGGCCTCAACCAAATGTTATGAAACTTATACACAATGCTAATTACCACAAAACACAGATCAAGTTTGAATTTTGGTGGCGTCACTTTTACCGTTTAAGAGTTATGCCCCTTTTCAAATGGAAAAATTGCTGAATTTTTCATTTCCATTTTTTAACTTAAGTTGGCCTCAACCAAATATTATGAAACTTATACACAACGCTTATTACCATGAAACTCAGATCAAGTACGAATTTGGGTAGCGTCACTTTTACCGTTCTAGAATTATGTCCCTTTATAACGTTATATGCAAGCAGGGCATCATCTGTGTCCCATGAACACATTCCCCATTTATTGACATAACAATCAAGAACCACAATGTTAAAAAATGATAAAGAAGTTGAGTGTAAAATTACCAGTTAAGGAACAAATATTTCGCATTTTCGTGAAAATGTGTGCCTAAAACTGATATAGGTATAGTTTAGACTGTACAGGTTATTCTCTCATTTGAATATTTTCTGTACCCTACATAAAATGACTTTGTTGATAAGTTGCAAATGCATTTTTGACATTTTTACCTATTATGTCTGTTTGTTTTGTTCACACATCGTAGTCATTATAATGGAAATTTATGCGACTGTCATACAACTGAGAGGTTTAGCTAGCTATAAAACCAGGTTTGATCCACCATTTTCTACCGTGACAAGAAAATGCCTGTACCAAGTCAGGAATATGACAGTTGTTATCCATTCGTTTGATGTGTTTGAGGATTTGATTTTGCCATTTGCTTAGGGACTTTTCCGTTTAGAATTTTCCTCGGAGTTCAGTATTTTTGTTATTTTACTTTTTTGTACGCACTTATGCGTGTGAAATTGTCAGGATAGACTATTCTGGGATTCTGTGATGTCACAAATATTTATACTAGGTACTTACATTCATAGACGTATCCAATTGTGAATGAAATTGCAGTGAATAAGTAAGTTAATATTTTGATTTTTCTACTGATGGTTGCGTGTTTTCCACTGATTAGGTAGACAATTCTTCAGGTGCTGCATGCTTGGCATACCAATCTTCGAGTTTTTGGTTTAACCGGGCTTGGAATTGATTCCACCACCTCTCAAGCATGATACCCTACTGGGGCAAATAAAAATCATCAGCAAAATAAAATTTACTAATAAATCAATATATCTGAAATGCCAATCAGCTCCTTATTGGAATTTTTGTCCTAAAATGCACACTTTTTTGTGATTTTGACTTTTTTCTTAATAAAAAACAAATAGGAGGAAACTGTTTCCTGTAAAAATGATCAGGAAGGTAAGATCTACAAATAAGTCAACCTAACTGATAATTGATTAATTCTCTAAAACCCCAATTTTTAATCTTGTAGGAGTTATTGCCCTTCAATTACCTTTTAAGTTGTTATCTCTGAGGGTCAAATCTAATAGAAGTTAAATTCACTTATTGACAATTTTTAACCAAATTCAGTTTTTTTTGCAATGATCTTGAAAATTGTAGGTAACAGTAGATCAAGAGAAACTGAACACATCAAGACAAAAATAGTTGACTCATTTATCTGCGGTTATTGGCCTGAATGACTTTTTTCAGTATATTTTCTACATGAATCAAAACTGGTCACAATCCTACTTAGAGTGTGAAAGATGTCTGCAACTTTAGTAAATGATTTTAATGGTGTTCATTTTTTACCAGCTGAGCGATTCAGGTTCCTGTGAGCCTCTGGTTTTTGTTGAAATCGTACAATAAAAAACAAATGTGTCAAGAAAACAAAGCTCATACCGCACAGTCAGCTATAAAAGGCCCCGAAATGACAATGTAAAACAATTCAAGCGAGAAAACTAACGGCATAATTTATGTACAAAAAATGAACGAAAAACATATATGTAACACATAAACAAACGACAACCACTGGATTACAGGCTCCTGACTTGGGACAGGCATATACATACAGAATGTGGCGGGGTTAAACATGTTAGCGGGATCCCAACCCTCCCCCTAACCTGGGACAGTGGTGTAACAGTACAACAAAAGAACGAACTATAAAAATCAGTTGAAAGAGGCTTAACTCATCAGATGGATAAAAATACAAATACTACAAATACAAGTGGACGTGGCCGGGTACTTGTACATCCAAAGAGACTGTTTCCTGCTAAAATGATCAGGAAGATATGATCTTCAAATAAGTCAACATAACTGATATCGAAAAAAGTAAAATAGCAAAAATACCGAACTTCAAGGAAATTCAAAACTGAAAGTCCCTTATCAAATGGCAAAACCAAAAGCTCAAACACATAAAACGAATGGAAAACAACTGTCACATTCCTGACTTGGAACATGCATTTCCTTATGTAGAAAATGGTGGATTAAACATGGTTTTATAGCTAGCTAAACTTCTCACTTGTATGGCAGTCGCATTAAATTCCATTATATTGACAACAATGTGTGATCGATTCCTTTACCCCGATTGTCAATCAACCACTTATAGGAGTTATTGCTCTTCTGTTGCCATTTTGGTTATAACAGAAATTGTGGAAAGCTTTAATGATCAGCACGATCAAGCTTACACATACGGTAGTTGATTAACTGAATTGTTGGGTCAAATCTTATAGAAGTTATAGTCCTTAATTAACAATTTTTTACCAATTTTAGTGTTTTTTGCAATTATGTTGAAAAATATAATAGATCAAGAGACACCGTAAACAGAAAGACAAGATCTAGAAGACAACCAAAAAAGATGGACATTGTTGACTCCTTTATCAGCGTTTGTTGTTTGTTCACTTCAGTGTTTCTGTTGTTTCGTTGTCCAAATGTACTATATTGTATTGTTTATTCGCGTAATTCTCTGTCCGTAATGTTGTACTGTATTCATGTCATGTAATGGTGTCATTTTAGTGTTATATTTTACATTGCCATAAAAGTGCGAGGTTTGGCTAGCCACAATACCAGGTTCAACCCACCATTTTTTTCATAAAATGTTCTGTACCAAGTCAGGAAAATGGCCATTGTTATATTATAGTTCGTTTCTGTGTGTGTTGCATTTTAGTGTTGTGTTTCTGTTTTGTCGTTGTTCTCCTCTTATATTTGATGTGTTTCCCTCAGTTTTAGTTTGTAACCCGGATTTGTTTTTTCTCAATCGATTTATGAATTTCGAATAGCGGTATACTACTGTTGCCTTTATTTATTGTCCTTAAAATGACTATTTTTTTCAATATTTTCTACTTGAATCAAACATGGTCACAATTCTATTTACAGTGTGAAAGATGGCTGCAACTGTGGTAATACTATATGATTTCAATGTTGTTCATTTTAACCAGATGAACTATTCCGGCTCCTGTGTGGATCTAATTGTTTTTGTAAACTTTTGTTGTTTGGATGCAGTCCAAGTAAAGCAATATCCACATCTGAACACATTTCTTAAAATCATATGTACA